CGAAACATGACCTTGATTTTAATTTTAAGTTACTTAAAGGAATACGCGGGCATAAAATATATCCCTATATTTAGGGGTGAAAGGGTTTAAATTCCCTCCTGGATGTGCGATTAATTGTTGGAATGCAGGATCGCAATTCGATGCAAGAATATATGATTATATATATGATTTACACTGCGATGAATGATAGCACCTCTAGTGGCTATAGGGGTACAATAAGAAAAGACCGATGGTTACACAAGCAATTCCCTACTCATACTCTTAGTTTTTTCGGTAAAGTCACGTAGGTAAAAAATGAAATTAAAATTAATAAAAATAAAATAAAAAATCACGACGTTTCGGAGGCAACACAAGTCTCCGTCATCAGGTGGGACCGTCACAGCCAGATTTGCTGCAGCAAATCTGGCTTGCAGTCACGAAAGCTTCAAATCTAGAATCAATTCCATACTGTTTGGTTCTTTCGGTAAAGTCACGTAGGTAGAAAAAATAATAGATCACGATGTTTCGATCGCAAAACAAGCAATCGTCATCAGGTGAGACAACCACAGCAAGAAAACTGCTGAAAGAATATGGATTCCTGCAGTCACGAAAGCTTCAAATCAATCAATTCCATGCCTAAATCATGACCTCAAACATTGATATGGATGAAGTTACGTGTCATTATCATCCATGATCTATCCACTACTTGATGCAGGCCGCCCACAAGCTGTCAGCCATGTCTCGCCGTGGTCTGATGTAGCAATCCAACGAGCACCCACACACCAGCTGATGTATTTCGAGCTCCATCTCTGCAAGTAGACTTTTTTTTAGCGCCTTCTCTCCCTTAGCTGTCCCTGTCTCGACCGCCGGTCATTGTCCCTGCCCAGCCTGCTAATTTTTATTATAATTTTCTATTTCTTCAAAGTCGTCAAGATATAGTTTACGCGCGTATGTTCTCCAATCTACGTGTGTCTCTGTCTGCCTCTCATTGTACTCCAAGCATGTTTACATTATTTTGTAAAATGTTCAGCTTTTGTCCAATTTTATGTCAATGTTTATGTTGCTCACCCATAATATGCACTGATGATAGAATTCACTCACTGCACACTTTCAATACAATAATATATGTACAGTCCTCTTAACCACGGCCCTATTATCCGCAACTCCTATTATATCTAGCAGCTGTACGATCTGTGAAGAATCCTATTATCCACTACTCTATATCTTCCTATTATGCACGATTATCCGCAACATTTCCCATAAGCCTTTGCGGATTGGCATCCTGTCATCTGCGATTTCTTTGTGGATAAGGGGTCCTGTGGTAAACTCGTCCTATTAGCCGCATTAACCCACGATGTATCACCCCACACAAAAACTATTTAGCTATAAAAATGTTATTAGGTGAGGCCCAGTTAACTGTATAGCTCTTTTTCAGAAGCAACCTGCCCGCAAATGATAGCTCAACAAAGTGTCCAATCACGTGGAAATGTAAAACAGCCGAATACTCTAAACACGTGCTTCTAAATGTGGACGGAAAAACCGAAGCACCCGGGGAAAAATCCATGCAACCACGGAGAGAGAACATGCAAACTCCAAATATACAGGTGTCAGGGTCGGGATCAAGCCCACGTCCTCCTGTATATCAAGCGAGGTCATTAACATCTCACCACCGTGGCACCATGCTATGCCCCTAAGAGGAATACAATCACGGATCATGGGATCTGCAATATTGGTCGCCCGTATCACGGCAGTTAAGAAGAGTTCCATATACATTGTTGGTACCTGGTAAAAAATAAAATAGTTAAATAGTTTAGTTTACGCGCGACACCCCCCCTTCCACATACGCTTTCCTGCTTCTGCCCGCTTGTTGTTATAGACATTGTCTCAAAGGAAGTGAGGTCTTCCTGGCTGTGGGTTTAACTTAGCAGCCTTACAAATGAACTAATGGACCAGTGTTCTGCTGGACCACATCAAGTGTAAGTAAACAATAGCATCTGCTTCCCCCCTCGCCTCCGAACTTTAGCCGTGCAATAGTTCCCTGCCATTCAAGCGTTTTCCATTCACCATTCACCCGAGCAGCAATTTGGCAGCAATTGTCTTGTTGTGACGCGCCTCTATTTCATCACATCTCAGAAGCTAAGCAAGGTTTCAGCCTGGAGAGTGCTTGGATGGGTGACCACTGTGCACAAGCAGGTGTTAGTGAGCCTACTATACATTTCTACGTGATAAGCCACTTCGTTGAGCTGTCTTTTGTGGCCAGGACACTTTTGAAAAATAAACTAATAGCTCAGTGGGCTTTACCTTGTAAGATAAAAAAAAAGTTTATTTTTATTTGTATAACTTTTAAAGTGATTTTGTCACCTTTCATATACTTTGCACTCCTATCGTGTTGTTGCACTGTTTGTTGTCGTAACGTTTTCACCCGCCCCTACTGGACATATGTGAAATAGAGCTTCATAGCTCATCGGATTCCTTCAGTATCAATACATATTCTGATTCTGTATACCCGTGGCTGTACTCTACTTCTACGCTTCCGTGTGGTGTCTGTGCTCGCCGCGTTCGCCAACCCACAATGACCCAGCGTAATACATTTTTGGGGGAGTGAGGGGGGGGCCTCATCCAGCAGTGGATCGATGAAAGCTCTGTACAGTACTTGTACACACGTCCGTTGTGAAGCTCGTGTTCAAGAGTTGTGCTGTGCTATTTGTTTTAAACATGCTTGCACTTCTGCTTGTATCGACTGGCTCAAGCGAAGCCCAAGTGCAGGGCGGAGGAAGTAGTGATCTGTGGTTTCCAATCGAGTGGGTTTCATCGTCCCTGTCTGGAGAAGAATGAGACGCGTGGGGCTCTCCAGGCACGACTTCCCTGTGCTCTGACGTCAACGTCTACTGACTCGCCAGCCTGCTTTGCTTAAGCGTAACGAGCATGGGACCATGAACACGCCATGCCCTCGGTTGTTTGTTTATTGCTTTTTCCATTGACAGTTTGAATTAATCGAATCAGAAAAGATGTATATATCGTACACATATATATTTAAATCTCTTACAAGCCGTCTGGCCAGCATGGAAATTAGGTCAATATATCACGGGGCTCTGTACAATTCCCTCTCGTGCAGGCCCATGTTAACACTGTACATATTTGTTCTCTAAGCACTATTTTTTGCCTGCACCTCTGACACGTTTTGTTCCATCGTTGCCCCGTTCCTCTGCAAGGGTGGCTCTCGCGGTGCTTTTTGTGCGCTGATGCACCACACATCTCCCTTGCAAACGATGAACTACTTAAAAACGAAACTATTTCTATTTTACAAGGGAAGGATCACTGAGCTATGTAGCTCTTTTTCAAAAGCGACCTGGCCACAAATGATGGCTCAACGAAGTGGCTTATCACGTGGAAATTTGACAGCAGTCAACTTCTCTACACGCATTTTTTCTAAATGTAGAGAGAAAAACCGGAGGATTCGGAGAAAAATCCACCCGACCACGGAAAGAACACGCAAACCACAAGTATACAGGCGTCAGGGTCGGCCTCGAACCCACGACCTTGTATACACCAGGTGAGGTAGTCAACATCTCGCCACCGTGGCACCCAAAACATCTGGGTAACTGAGCAAACGGAACTTTCCGTGTAACAAATAAAGAGTGATTGATTGAGCCGGTGGAGAGTCAGCAGTAAAATTACAGGGACTGGTACTGACAATGGTGTGAAATCACCCATCATAAAGCTCGCTCAGTGAATGATTGACAGGAAGAAAAAAAACATTATCTGGAGAGAGCAGAGGGACTGACTGACTGTCAGCTGGAGATTGCATTTGCAGTGTGTTAAACTTTGAATGAGCAGCAAACAAACGCCTCCACCTGTTAACAACGAATAGATAAAACGGATGTCAATAAACTGCTCCTGTTTTTTTTCTTTTAAGCCATTGTAATTGCATGTTTGTTAATGACCAAAGTTAGACCCATAAAAGTTAAAGCAAAGCTGAGCCTGGATAGTGCTGGTTAGTGCATAAAAACAGCTGTAGTAGGCGACCACCAGGGTCGACTACATCGTCTGCAGAGTCAGTGAAGTAACAGCCGGTGTTGTTATGGATGATGCTCAAACGTCTTCTGTGCTCCCCAACTTTTCCAGTGTGAAGTATTTAAAACTATTTGAACTATGTTGTTTATTTACCAGGTAAGGCCCACTGAGCTATGCAGCTCTTTTTCAGAAGCGACCTGGGCCACAAATGATAGCTCAACGAAGTGGCTTATCGTGTGGAACTTCACAGCAGCCAAATACTCTAAACGCGTGTTTCCTAATGTGGAGGGGAAAAACCGGAGGACCCGGAGGGTCGGGATCGAACCCACGACCTTCTGTACACCGGGCGAGGTGGTAAACATCTCTTCACCACGGCACCCTTCTCGCAAGGATGGTCACATGACACCCCCGTGGCCCACACAGCACAGAGAGAGGCTCCCGATCCGGCAGTGGATTGACAAAAGAGCTGTCTGTCTGTACTTGTACTGTGCTTGCACTGTACTTGCGTGTTGTTGATCTAAATAAAAAATATATGAAAGGCAGGCTTGTGTCAATGGGCTGTCTCTCACCTGGCCAGAAATAGATTCTTGTAATCTGTGTGTGCACGAATGATATCTACCCAAATGTCCCCATCGGGGAACAAAACTCACTCGAGTGACAGGCATTCCAACAACTGATAAATAATCTGGACTAACCTCCTCCCTCCCCATTAAACAGGATCATTAACATTTCTAATAAAAGTTATTAACGACATTGCTGGCCGGTATTCACGTGAATAAGATTTTTTCCTTTGCTCATTCGCCGCCGCCACTTGATCGATGGACAACGCCGTGGGATTAGTTCATGCGGCCAGCGAGCTCATGCGGGGGGAGGCGTGGGAGGTAGGTGGAGGTGCGGTGTGGCCGTGACGAAGCTACAACACGGCCGTGAGCGTGCGCGTGACGCCGGGTTGCAGAGAAAGCTGCTAAAGACCGTCCGGCACGGCGTCGTGGGCTTATGCCACCCACCAGGGGGGTCGCCTCGATGTTCTCGCGCAGCAGCCAGTCCTCGCTCAGCGTGTACTTGGCACGGCCCGTGACCGCGTCCACCGGCCCCTTGCTGATCTGCTGCCGAATGGCCGTGAGCAGCAGAAAGAACGGCTCCCCGACTCGGTCCTGTGTGTGCACAGCGCGGAAGAGGGGGAGGAGGATGTATGTACGTACGTATGCTGAACTTTTTTCGCACCGTATGTAGCCAACCGTGCTAATCGGAGGTGCCGGGGGAAGGACAACAAACTAAAGACAAATAGCAGTTCTGAAAAAAATGAGTTTTCAATCTCGGTGACTTAAAAGTGCATAGCTCCAGTGGCTTCCTAACATCGGAAGGGAGAGCGTTCCAGACGGCCGCAGAAGCACGTCTGAAAGCGCGCGATGCGGTGACCGTCTTTGTTCGACGGCGAGCCAAAAGCCGCTGCGAGGATGACCGGAGTTCGCGTGATGGTGGTTTATGCTCTTTGACGAGATCAGCAAGCTATTGTGGTTCATTTGTGGCAAGCACTTTGTGTGTGTTGAGTGCGACCTTAGAATGTATTCGCTTAGCAACCAGAAGCCAATGCAGCTCAGCGGGCACTGGACGGACACGGTCGGATTTAGCAGTACACGGTACGATTCGTGGCAGAGAATTATAAGCAGCATTGATAGAGGCTCTAGAGGGACACCACATTGGCGAGATGTTAACTCCCTCGCCTGGTATACAGGAGGTCGTGGGTTCGATCCCAATCCTGACACCTTCATATTTGGAGTTGGCATGTCCTCCCCATGGTTGCGTGGATTTGTCTCCGGGTCCTCCACATTTAGAATTAACATGCGTTTAGAGTAACTGGTTGCTATAAATGAGCACACTATAAGCCACTTTGTTGAGCTATCAGTTCTGCTCAGTGTGTCCTACCTCGTAAAATAAAAAATAGTTTGGTTTTAGTTTAGGCTCAGAGGCACCGGTGTCTGGTAAATCACCCGAAGAGGAGGAAAAGGCACACCAGGAGAGTGAGGGCTTGCTCCAGTATGTGTCCCCTGTCTGCCTCCTTCTCCCATCACATCCCTCGACATGTCCCCGAGCTAAATGTGGCAGCCGACCTGTGACTAATCGCACGACTGTGATGACGTCCTGTTATGTGCACTCGTTGTGCGGGAGATCTTTGTGGAAATACAGGTTAAAACTGGCATGCAAAGCGATCCTGTTGAGATAAATTTGGAACGGGTGTCTGTTATAACACCTTTGTTCTGTATTTGTATTTTATTTATTCGTTACATTTAATGTACGTGATTCTAACGAAACACTTTTTTCATCCAGTCAAAACAAGTGCGTATATATATTTTAAAAGCACGGTGTGTGTATATCTGGGTTTCCTTCCCGTGCGTGACTGTGAGGGGCCGCGGTGTCTGTGTCCGTGCTCCCATTTCGCGGTAATTTGGTCAAAGTGTTTGGGCCCTCGGTAAGACCAACCCTCCCTCACGCTAACCCCAAACAACCACCTACCGACCCGCCATCCTTTCCTTCCCCACACCCTCTCCCGTTTACAATCTCCATTCACACTCCCACCTTCCCCCCCCCTGCCCTGTCCACTCTCTACAATCTGTCTTGGAATGTAGACAAAAATAACATGGGGGAGGGGGGGACTAATGACTGCCCGCCGTCTTGCAAAGGAGTGCCGCTTCAGAAGGCAGATTAAGATTGATGCCTTGGCCAGCCTTTGTCCTTATCTAGTTTGCCATACTTAAATAGAGCCAGAAAGCAGATCTACACGGTGTAATGGCGTGTGTTTATATATATAGGGTGTGGAAGTAAACTGCTCTGCAGCGATAAGCCTACAAGCTTTAGCACTTGTCCGGTTAGCCCGTGCTTTCTGCATGTTACCTGACATTACGTACGCATTCTAGATTTGAAGCTTTCGTGACTGCAAGGATTCATATTCTTAGGTTTTGTCGGTAAAGTCACGTAGGTAAAAAATAAAAATTAATAATTATTTTATTTTTAATTTTACTTTTTTTAATTAAAATTTTTATTTTTTTCCTACGTGACTTTACCGAAAAAACCTAAGAATATTACGTACGGACACACGGACACGCGTACAAACACAGGCACACTGGCAGACGGGCCGTTGGGCAGGAGGTTGGATGGACAGCCATACGCTCATCGGATTCCTCCAGAATAAATACATATTTTGATTCTGATGCATTTGCGGATGAGTTTCAGACTCTAACATTTTGCATTCTGGTCAGAATTTTAAGAACAATTTGAATGGTTGTTTTTCTTCGGATTTTCATGCAAATGACATGGTGCTAATAAAAGTGACGTCACCCAATGCCATGCCACGTCACTTTTTGCAGGAAAGCTGTGAAAGTGACGTCATTATAGAGACGTCAGTTTCATTCGTAATGGGAAATAATTGTAATAATCCAAAACAATTATTTCACGTGAAATCATCAAAAATGTATCCGATCTTAGGATTATTCAGATGAATCTGAACATCAGCAGCACATCCCTAACTGAGAGACAGACACACAGGCAGGTAGGCAGATAAACAGCCAGCCAGGCAAAGAGATAGACAAATTATAATTTGTGTTTCATAGAGTCACTCTTTCTCCCTGTCTTCCTGTATGTTTATTTGTTTCTCTGTCTGTCATTCTGTCTGTCTACGTGTCTATCTCTTTGCCTGTCTGGCTGTTTATCTGCCTACCTGTCTGTGTGTCTGTCTGTCTCGCAGTTAGGGATGTGCCGCCGATGTTCAGATTCATCTGAATAACAATGATAATTATCATCAACGACAGGGAAGGAGGGTGGACAAACAAACAGTCAAAGAAACGGTCAGACAAATAAACTAAAACACAATAAAATAATATAATAAAATAAAATAATAATAATATAATATAATAATATAATATTATATTATTTTATTATATTATTATATTTTATTGTGTTTTATTTTTATTATTTTATTACTTCCCTTCTACGTGACTTTACCGAAAGAACCAAGAAGATGAATCCCTGCAGTCACGAAAGCTTTAAATCGAAAGACAGGCAGTCCCGTCGACAAACGTAAACGTATGGACGGACGGACGGTCAAAGAGACGGCCGTACGTACAGACGCGCAATTACGCGGACAGACGGGGAGGGGGCCGCCTCGACCCTCTGTCCCGTCGGCTTCACCCACCCGCAGGAAGCCGTACATGCAGATGGACATCCAGTTGGTGAGCATCTTCTCCACGACGGACTCGGTGCGGCGCAGCATGAGCTTGGGGTGCTTGTTGGTGGACGACCTGATGAGGTCGACGAGCAGCTCCTTGAGCACGGCTGTGTAGTACTCGAGCTTGCCCTGCAGTGCCGCCGTGAGCCACGACGCCAGGTAGCACCTAGCGCGCGCCGTGGGGACGACAGCGCCGGCGCGGGGCGCAAGCGGAGCCAGGGTCGGCAAGCAGCTCAAGGCGGTGGGGGGGGGGGGGGCGGCGGCACCGGATTCGTGACACAAAATCGGGGTTCGCCCCAAATATCGAATTCAAATTCCAATTAACGAGCTGACTAATATGCAGAGGTGACTAGTCCCTCTCTTCTCTCATTATGGCCGCACCTCTCTTTTGTCATCCCACGAGTATTCTATGACTTGAAGTCAGGGTCCTCAATGGGCGAGTTCCACCACCGCCAGCCCGAGCAGTGAAAGAGTAGGGGACTTATCCACTCACCGCCGCCAAGATCCTTCTTAGACTCACCCCCTCCTAACCTCCCCCTTCTCACTCTACTCACTTCCCCATGCCTCCTACCACTTCCCTCTCAGCTCACCCTTCTCCGTTCCACAAACTCTCCACTCCACTCCAGAATGCTTTCTGTAAAAGCCCTCCAAACAATCTTCACTCGGTAGGAGGTCGCTCATTTTCAATCTAAATCTCTCTGCCCCCCCAGCCATCTGTGCGGTCAAATTCCGGCCCCTGTTAAAGTCCGGGGTCAAGTCCTTCCTTGTTTCTTCCTCCCATGAATCGTTGCCTCTCTGCATTAACGAAACATGCCAGATCTGTTGTAGCTGTATTGGATGCGAATCGTTTGGGTCTCTAAGCCTGTGGGTCCCCATGCAAGTCTGTGATCCCTCTAAAAATGTATGGGTCTCTCTGAATGGCCATATTGGGATTGTGTAGAGGAACGCAGCGTTCCTAGGGCATTGCAAGGAGTTGTGCTGTGCACCTGTCCTTGACCGTGAAATCCTTCTGCTGCTCCAGCGTGTGGATGAACGTGATGAGGAATTTCTGGTTGTTGAGCAGCGTGGAGAAAATGCCGATTCCCTCCTCCATCATTTGCCTACGCAATTCGGGAACCTGCGAGAAACACCACGCACAACAGAAAGACACGCATCCCCCAAATACCCTTGAACAGACTGTGAGCACGGCACACCAGGGGATGCATGCAGATACTAATATGAGGCTGAGTTGACCTAGGGGAGAATTGGTTCACATAGTCGCCACTGTTTTCTCCAGGACAAATACAAATTCTGATTCCGGTTCAAGTGTTCGCCACTCATATTGGTCATGAGCGGGAATCGAACTCGGGTCACTGCGCTAACCATACACACCACGCACATAACATACAAAGACAATGATCCTCTGTATAGCCTTAAGAGACTGTTGGGGCAAATGGTGTTAGTGAGCACCTATGAAGGCTGGCACGGCACATGAGGGTGTGGGTGGCCAACACCACGCCCGGCCAGATTTGTCTCCCCAGTGGCGATGTTTACACACCGCACCAGATACTCATTTGAGGCTGAGTCAACTTAGGGGAGGGCCAGGACCGGTTCAGATAATTGTCACCGATGTTGGCCATGAGTGGGAATCGAACTCGGGTCGCCGGGTTCGTAGCCGAGCATGCTAACCGCTACGCTACCGCTCCCCACATAACATATACACACAAAGCACAGACGCCACAACCCCGCTGTGTAGTTTTGTTGTATAATTTGCGCGATTTTTATTTCATATACGTGCATTTGTGTACAGGGGCGCCCAGAGGTTAGCGGAGACCCCCGGGCAAAAAAATGTCCATGTGGGGGCCCCATTATTTCGTGGCTGACAGAAAGCCCAGGGCTGTATTGGGGTCCTCTTTTGTGTGTCTACCTACGTGACTTTACCGAAAAAACCAAAGAGTGCGGAATTGATAGCTTGAAATAATTTAACGTGGGGCCCTTGAAAGTGCGGGGCGTGTAGCATATGCAGCTACTTTTGCTCCTAGGATAATCCAGCCAATGACTCTGCCGTGCTCCCCTGATTTGTTGTATGCCGCCAACCCTCGCCTTTAAACTACACGGTAGGGGTGGGGGGGGGGGGTTATATTCACTTGCTTCATACTCTTAGTTCTTTCGGTAAAGTCACGTAGGTAAAAAATGAAATTAAAATTAAAAAAATTACCTACGTGACTTTACCGAAAGAACTAAGGGTATGAATCATTGCAGTCATGAAAGCTTCAAATCTAGAATCGCTTGCTTCACTTGCTGAATTCACAGAGCAACAGCTGGCAAATCGCCGCTTCTCACCTTCCACTCGGCGGCGAAGAGCGGATGGTCCAGCACGAGCGCGCTGTCGGTGGCGGGGATTCTGCGCAGTCGGCGTGATACTGTGTGAAACTGCTCCACTGTCTGGTTTGAAGGGGACACAAAAAAAAAAGGCAACGACAACAGAAAAACAAACGCGAGACAAAATGACGACGGAGCCATCGGAGATTTCGCCACAACCGTGATTGCGCTGCAACTTTGTGACCTTTTTTTTAATGTTTTGCGGGTGGTGGTGGGTGGGGGAGGGAAAGTTGATTGATGTTTATCTTGGGTTGGCACTGCGGTTTATAGCGATTGACTCACAATCGGGGAATTGTTTTCCCCGCGAGTTCAAATGCCCCCTCCTGGGGCCGATTACCCCCAGCCAATTATCCCTTCGGGGGGGCAGTCACTAGAATCAGGACCACTTTTTGAATAAACGTCAACAGTTGGTTGTCCTTTGGAGAGACTGTTATACCACTGGCGTTTATGCGTGTGTGTTGAACTTCTTTCGCACCGTATATAGCCAACCATGCTAATCGCAGGCTTCTACAGATAAGCGCACTGCATTGCTCTTTTGAGCAGGGAGACACAGGCCTTGCATTCTGAGTGTAATGGCACGATCCTCTGACCAAATCACCCAGAACGCACGCAATCTCATAAGATCACAAAAGCTAAGCAGGGATGAGCATGGATAGTGCTTGGAATTGGCAACCGCCACGAAAAAAAACGTGGTTTTGTAGGCAGCAGCTGTTAGCATAATTTGTCAGCAGAAGGTATTGCAATAAAGTGCATTGTTGTACTGTACTCCTATGCTTCCATAAAATGTACTGTGGTGAGATATTAACTACCTCGCCTGGCATACAGGGTATGATCTTGACCCTGACGCCTGCTGTATATTTGGAGTTTGCGTGTTCTCCCCATGGTCGTGATGATTTTTCTCCGGGTCCTCCGGTTTTTCCCTCCACATTGAGAATCAACAAGAATTTAGAGTATTTGACCGCTATAAATGTCCACATGATAAGCCACTTCCTTGGGCTATCTTTTGTGGCCAGGTCGCTTCTGGAAAAGACCCCAATGAATTGGTTTATCGTGTGGACATTAATATCAGTCAAATACTCGTATCCACACGACCACAGGGAGAACAAGTAAACTCAAAATATACAGGCGTCGGGGTCGGCAATAGGATCAAATCTGCGATCTCCTGTATACCAGGCGAGGTAGTTAACATCTTGCTACCGCGACACCCCATTGTGCTCAGACTCGGGCTGTGAGTGTCTGCTCGTGCTGCGGAGACACACGGAGAACAATGCGTGCATAGTCCCCCATGCCTTTCCCATTCTGCCGTCTCGAGTCGCCGATCTCCCTGGGGCGAGCAGGGTTTGATTCTGTAACCGCTCCGCAGAAGGGAATGCGTGTGTGTGTACGGTTTATTTCTGTTTTAATGCACAGAGAGCCTGCTCCATAAAGATTCCCGCATTACGTAATAGGAATAACAACCCGCATGTGTTGCCCAGCACTCTGAATCCACGGACTTAACAAAATGTTGCTGTTCTCTGGCACACAAAAACGAGTTTCTAATATGATGTATATCTGTGGTATGTATGTGTGTGTGTGAACACTCCAGAGACCCCGTCACTCAGGAGAAGGAGCAATGAAATCGTTTGGTGTGCCAGGTGACGGATGGAGTTTTACATCGCGGGATCGATCACGAGAGGTAGCAGCAGCAGCAGCAGCTTTGGGAGGTGCCTGCATCCGGCGGTGGATTGACCACGGCTGATGATGGCGACGTACAAGTGAAGACAACTGAACATGGCCACGAGAAGTAAAGTTTCCATCTGTAGAATGCTGCCTCCTTGAGTGGGTGGGGTTTCTCCAGGTTCTGCGGTTTCCTCCCACATTTGTATAAACGCCTTTGCATTATCTTCTTGGTTCTTCCGGTAAAGTCACGTAGAAGGGAAATAATAAAATAATAAAAATAAAACAGAATAAAATAATTCTCACGATGTTACGGCCACAACCCAAGCAGCCGTCCTCAGGTGAAAAACAGGTCTGTCGGAAAGACAGCGTCTGAATGACTCTGTCTTTATATTTTTATTTAATTATGTTTTATTTTTATTATTGAATGACGCTGTCTTTCCGACAGACCTGTTCTTCACCTGAGGACGGCTGCTTGCGTTGTGGCCGAAACGTCGTGAGAATTATTTTATTATGTTTTATTTTTATTATTTTATTATTTCCCTTCTACGTGACTTTACCGAAAGAACCAAGAAGATGAATCCCTGCAGTCATGAAAGCTTGAAATCGCCTTTGCATTAACCGGCTGAAAACATCTTAAAATAAAACGCCCAATGCTGCACGACCCTGACTAAAAAGGTCATGTAACTCACTGAGGATCTTTTGTGGACAAATAAGTCCCAAAAAAAACGTACTGCATATGAGTACATGTATAAGTTACAGTGGGAGTGTAGCGGTTTGTAGTTTGACGCGCTACGAACCCGGTCATCCAAATTCAATTGCTGCTCATGGCCAACACCAGTGACGATTATTTGAACTGGTCTTGGGCCTCCCATTGGTCGACCCAGCTTCATTGGGTGCCAAATTCGATGTGCAAAAACGTTGCCACTTGGGAGACAAAGGCGACCGGGCGTGGTGCTGGCCATCCACCCCCTCATTTGTCGTGCCGGCCTTCATAGGTGCTCGCTAACAGCACTTGTCCCAATAGTCTGTGAAGGCTATACTGGGGGATCTTGGTGTTTTTATAACATACGTAACAAAACCTTGAACATAAATCTTTCATGCCTCTTCTGTCCTTCATGATAACAACATACAGCCCTGTCGATCTACTGCTGGATGAAGGGCTCCACGTGCGGTGTTGGTTATGGGGATTGTTTGACCATACTTCACCACACTGGTTAGTGCAGGCTGGTGGATGAGTGTAGGAAGGATCCAGGACTGGCTTACGCTCGTGTGAGCTGCACCCAGGAACCAAACTCAGGTTGTTGGAATCATAGCGCAGCGGCACTCACCAGTCTGCCATTTCATTATGAATGCACTGTAAAACCATAACATCATTACATCCAAACGGTTTTAAAATCTGCTAACGATAAATGTTCAACGTTTGGCGGTTGACGTAATTGTGTAAGCAAATCTGTAGCATGCATCAGCCTCTCAGTTCCTTAATTTCATCATGGTTGTGAGGTTGGGAGACTGGCCAAAGGCTTTCGCAAGGATGACCTCAATAAATTACGAGCGGCAGCTGCAAGTGGACTTGTGGGGAGATAGAAAGTGACCACCACTTAAGCACAACTTCACAAAAAAAAAACGCCGCGAGTTGCTGAACGATTTATCCCACTGCACCTCATCCTCTAAAAAATTGCGTTAAGAGCAAACAAGAACACTGCACGTGAACTGCCAATAAAAATGAGCAATCAATCGTCGCAGTAACTCAAGCGGCAATTTTTTTCTAATTGTTTAAAGTAAAGGTGCAGTCCTGCAATTTGCCTGCTCACGCCACTGCTGGCACGAGTGGCCTTGGACAGAGGCAGCTTCTCGAGAGAGCCTCTCCAACAGGATATTATCTCGGCCGAACAAAAAAAAAACTATTGCAGGTTACTGATGGACAGCCAGTTTTGTTTTACCAGGTTTAGCTTTCTACCAGGTTTAGCTTTCTTTTTTCACACTTTTGTGATGTAGGCTAGGCGTAGTCACAAACCGAACCTCTCCATAATAAAGGCTCAGTCTTTTGTTATGCAGTCTATTCATAGTCTCAAGCCGCACCTTACCATAATAATAAAAAGTGGGCCATTCCTGGCCCTTCCCCCCCCCCCCAACCATTATATATACGGAGTGGTATCTCCTGTAATCTCTCATTTACTTGATACAGCTGTCGGGCTGTGACGGTTCCACCTGAAGATGGAAGCTTGTGTTGCCTCCGAAACGTCGTGATTTTTATTTTATTTTACTTTTATTAATTTAAATTTTTTACCTACGTGACTTTACCGAAAAAACCTAAGAATATGAATCCTTGCAGTCACGAAAGCTTCAAATCTAGAATTAATTCAATTGAATCCCAATCGTGACAACTGGCGGTATCGCCGGGAGACTGAGCCATGAACCATTGCGCGCACGCATACTACCCCGGACCCTCGCTGCTGGCGCTACCCCCGCTGACGCGAGCCATGCCCTCCGTCGACGGTGACCGGGTGAGCGACGCACCTCCGGAAACAGAATCCTGATGGCGAAGTGCTTGTACTCGAGGAAGGGGATGCCCTGGTTGCCGTTGAACTCCGACGCCAGGTCCGTCATGTCCGTCTGCAGCTCCGCGAATCCTTTTTACGCCAGTGGGGGGGGGGGGGGGGGGGGGGGGGTGTGAAGGCAATCGTTAGAGAGTGAGCGACGACGTGGTTTGAGCATTTCCCATGACGAGCTCCGACGGCGCCCCTTGGCACCGTCGCAATGTCGCGGTCGCGCCCCGCAGATTGCCGCTCGTTCGCCTCGAACGGATGGAAAGTGGGCGGTATGCAGTTCCCATTCTCTCACTTTTCCTTGTCCAAACGCGCACTGTTGTGCATTGCCGAGTGTTTGCTACGCACGGTACCTGCTGCTTTGCGACTCGCAGATGGCAGTGAGGCGGTGGTCGCCGAGCTGTTAGTTCTCTCTCCGTTTAACATGTTTGCTCGCTGCCCCCAGGTCAGGTCACTCCCTCTCGAAAAGGAAGCTTGCATTTTGGAAAGCCAGATTTGTTGTGTGTTGCTCATTTTTGCAATGCTACGGGAGCATATAAAGTAGAGTACAACAATGGATTTTGCTGCACTGCCCTCTGCTGCGTGTTGGTCACCCAATAAAGCACTATCCATGCTCGAGCCTGCTTAGCTTCCAGGGATCTGACTATATCGGGCACATTCCGCGTGGTTTGGTGACAGGTGTGTGTGTGTGCGTGTTTAACGTGCAGCGATGAAGCGAAGAATTCTGTCCTCACCTTTGCGGATTTCGTCTCGGATCTGCGCCTCCATCTCCTCCATCTGCACGAGGATTTTCTGCAGGTTGTGCTTGGCTCTCTTGTTTTTGATGTAAAACACCATCACCAACACTGCCGAACAACGGTAGCCGTGTGGCTGATTCATGTGACCCCCTTCAGCAACTAGAGGCGCTGCTATGCATCACAACGGTAACACAAATGTTTCTTGAATCGAACCTGAATTGTGACAATCAATTAACGTTTGTGATAGCTCGCAGCCACGGGTGTGCCCCTATATCCACCCCGACAAGTTTTATGTTCTTTGTTATAATTCAAAAGCCCAGAATACAAAGTATGTTTCGAAGAGGGGGAAACCGCAGCAAACCCGGAGCGATGCACCCGCAAAATGATGGACCGACCGGGGCCGTCCGTGCTCGCTGCCCTGCCGCGGTAGGGGGCGACGATCGGGAACAGCCTATTTAAGGCGGACGGGAAGAAGACTGAGGAAGGGAGAGGAGGGTGGGATTCACCCCAATATTTACAGTAAATTATTCTCCAATTGAATCACAACCACGAATTGCAACAATTCATCGAAACGCCGCTGCGGAGAGATGGGGAGAGGAGGAGGGGAGGGAGTTAACGATTCGACCTCTGCTCGTTCCTGCGCAAAGAACCCCTTTGCGTCGAGTTTGCCGTTTCGCGCTAAAGAAGAAAGGCCAGGGGGTGGGGTGGCATGGAAGCAGCCGGAGAGCCAGGGGACCTGCCCTTGGGCAGAGAGCTCACGGAGACGACGACGACGATGAAGGTGAGCCGAGAGCTCGCTCACCAATTATGCAGACGATGAGCAGGGCCAGGAAGAGAGCAATGGCAGTCGTCAAGTTGGATTTATCCACCGTCAGCATTTCCACCATCTCCTTGTAGTGCCCGACCTGAACCTGCGGGCACAGACAGCCGAGGGGAAACGCAATGTCAGGGGCGGTTGTGGAACGTGGTTGGTTTGGGCCCCCTCCCCACCTTTTGTATCGCCGCACGAAGGCCACTCCATCCCATGGGTCCCAGTGCAGTGACACTGCCTGTAAACTCGAGAACTATGCGACTGCTCAGAGACAGAATCAGAGTTCATGAGGTGTCCATCGGAATCTGCCTCACGTCACCGCACTAATATAATTGTTTACTGACCCAGGAAAGCCTCACTCAGTCTCATGACTCTCTTTCAGGAGGGCCCTGCCAAGTTGTCACAGTACGGGGCAATGGCCACTCTGTATGTTCCAATTGAGTTCAAACTGATTTGCCCCATGACCATATCACCTTGAATGTGACTGATCTTGTCGAATCTCAGCTTTGCAGACTTAAGCCTGCTCAGTCCTCGGATGGGTGACCACCGAGGCTTGCCAGGTGTTGTAGGCAGAGAGACCACGAGGTGGCTGCATTGAGTGTCACCCTCTCGCACGTGTGGTAGGTGTTCTCCGCGTTCTCCAGTTTCCTCCCAAGTGCCTTGTCTCGTATAGATTTGTATGGCGCCTTATTCAAGTAACGCATAAAATGGTACACAAGATGACAGTGCTTGAGATAAAGAGTGAGTCTATCATTAAAAGTGGTGGTAACGTAGTTATGCTGACAAAACAAGTGTAAGTGGTTAAGAAGGGGATGGGGGATGTGGTAGGCCTGGTCGTAGCTGGAAGGCAGGGAGTAGCGGTAGCATTCAAATATTAAACTTTAATTTTATTTTACCAGCTAAAGCCCACTGAGCTATGTAGCTCTTTTTCGGAAGCGACCTGGCCACAAATGATAGCTCAACGAAGTGGCTTATCGTGTGAAAATGTATAGCAGCCAAATACTCTAAACGCGTGATGTTGATTCTAAATGTGGAGAGAGAAAACCGGAAGACCCGGAGAAAAATCCACGCGACCACGGGGCGAGAGGCACGCAAACTCCAAATATACAGCAGCAGGCATCAGGGTCGGGATTGAACCCACGACCTCCTATACACCAGGCGAGGTAGTTAACATTTCGCCACCGTGACACCCACATGGATCAAACAATCGTCATTGAAATAGGCCAAACATCCCAACGCAGCAGGGCCAAAATTGAAACAAATTCTGATCATCATCGATTCTTTCCTGGCCAAACGATTCGGCATTATGAGCCAATCGTTGGAATAAGTTACTGGAATGCATTTGGCTTTTCAAGGACGTTCCTTCAGTGCAAAGGATGTGATGGTAAAACACAAAGAGAATCCATGACAAATGCCTGTCAAAGGTATCCCTTGACGAATGTCTGTGTTGCTGTTGTCTCTCCTCACTCACACGTGTCCAGGGTTTCACAGCAGTGCCAATTGTCATGGAAGGGCTGCTTACATGTCTCAGTGAGAGCGATTCCTTCAAAGGCAACAAGAAAACGTTGCATCCGTTTTTTTAGTTAACTGAATCCAGCTTAAGGAGGAAGCAATGACTTCACATGTGTTTGTTATCACTCCACAATATGGATATTATCGTAAATCAACAATTACATCCTTTATTTAAACCAGCGGCAAAGTCCACGTCTCTTTGCTTCGTGAAAATATACTCTGGAGATGTTAATTACCTTTGACCAACTGTAAAGTGTCCCATCATCATCTACCACGATCTACGCACTGTTGGTTAAAGCCAGCTCCATCTCCCGACAGGCTCACGACGTGTCGCCACGTCGAGCAGCACATGGGCCGGTCTCGTCGCTCCATCTCCCCGATGGAGGGGCTCATTCCTTGCGCTGCTGCTCTGTCATTATTCACGCCAACCGCCCGTAGGTTATCTTGTTCGGGAGTGGCGTGTCTCCAGCCCAAGTCAAGTTGTGTTTTTATGAACGGTCAATATGTGACATCTTTAACCTGTGCGTGTTCTGCAATCCACGCACTGTTGCTCTCTCCACCTCTTAGCGCATCACAATCTAAAGATATGTAACCGGCTGATGCCTCATCTCGAGACAGGAAATAAAAACTAAACTAAACCAAAATAATATAAAACAATAAAAATTCTCACGACGTTTCGACTGCAACACAAGCAATCATCATCAGGTGTGAAATCCACAGCAAGAAAATTAGAATTTTTTTTTTTTTTTTTACTTTTTTCAAATTTTCTTGCTGTGGATTTCACACCTGATGATGATTGCTCGTGTTGCAGTCGAAACGTCGTGATAATTTTCATTATTTTATATTATGTTATTATTTCCCTTCTACGTGACTTTACCGAAAGAACCAAGAATATGAATCCCTGCAGTCACGAAAGCTTTAAATCACAAAACCATGTTTCCGTTACCAGGTGTAAGTCCCACTGGCCAATGCAGCTCTGTTTCAGAAGCGACCTGGCCACAAATGATGGCTCAACGAAGCGGCCTATCATCACGTGGACGTTAATAGCAGCCAAATACTCGACGCTCGTCACGCTGATTCTAAATGGTGCACTGACTCTACAGGTGGGCGGAGGGAGGGCGCACTGAGAACACTGGGAATCCCGAGGGCAATTGACAAAAGGTGACGAGTTTTGAATTCACCAATAGGAGCAGCTTTCCAGCAGTAAATGCTGATCATCTAAATCAAATCTTACTTGAATCAAGGTCACAAGTGTCCAACGGCGTGTTTCTTATTCATCGGGGCGATCCATTTACAGACACCCCACTGATCTCTCAACCTCCCTCTTTCTCTCTTCACGACTGGCCGATTGAACGGCCGTGAAGGCGACGGCTCCCACGCATGGCGGAGAAGAGCGGATTTAATGAGCGGGTTGAGATGGGTGGGAGGTGACGTGCGGAGGCTTTGAATGAACTTGTAATTTCTTCTATAATTCCCCTACCCCCCCACCCGCCTCTTTGATTTTCGTGGGGTATCTATAAATGTATCGACCTGTAAGTAGAACCGACACATTATGCTGTTGCTTGCTTGGCGGAACGCGCCGCAGGCTGCGGTTGAGCGGCAAAAAAAAAAAGTCTGTGATGCGTGCAAGGAAGAGATAAGTCTTCCGTGGTCGAGTTTGTGATGCAACAACCTTCCCTGCATGTGCTAGAAGCAGCATGTTCCATTTGTGTTCATCTTACTGTAAAATAATATGAACTAAGAAACACTCCGCGACATTTACGGTGCGTTTATGCGGCGGTTGCATAATACCATTTGAGGAAACACACGTTCATCTTCTTGGTTCTTTCGGTAAAGTCACGTAGAAGGGAAATAATAAAATAATAAAAATAAAACATAATCAAAAACAATTCTCACGACGTTTCGGCCACAACGCAAGCATCTGAATGAACCGTGTCTTTCCGACAGACCTGTTCTTCACCTGAGGACGGCTTGCGTTGTATTTTATTACGTAAATTTTTATTATTTTATTATTTCCCTTCTACGTGATTTTACCGAAAGAACCAAGAAGATGAATCCCTGCAGTCACGAAAGCTTGAAATCGAAATGAAACACACGTTCCAATATATTTGCAATGCAGTAATGGCTAGCACACTGGATTCCATATTAACAACATGAATTAAGGGTAATTTGAGCACAATGAACTAAAGTACAATTTGTGCAATGATGAAACTTAAGATCAATTAGACAGATGCATTCTAACACTGGAATGCTGCCATGGTGTGATGGTTAGCAAACTGGACTTGCAATCTCCTGGGCATGACAGTGGAAACAATGGGGCAAGATGTCAACTCCCTCGCCTGGTATACAGGAGGTCGTGGGTTCGATTCCGACCCTGACGCCTGCTCTATATTTGCAGTTTGCGTGTCCCTCTCCCCCGTGACGCCGTCGCTTATTCTCCGGGTTCTCCTGGTTTTATCCGTCCGCATTTAGAAACACGCATCCAGAGTAATTGGCTGCGAAACATTTCCACGTGGTGACGAGCCACTTCGTTGAGCTGTCATTTGTGGCCAGGTCGTTTCTGAAAAAGAGCTACATAGCTCAGTGGGGCCTTAACTAATAACATTTAAAAACTTAAAATGTGTTTTTATTGCCACCCCCGGCCTCGATTGCTGCCTCTGTCTGCCCAGCAGTAATTGTGGGTACAGCACAGGTAGTTGATGGGCACGTCGTCTGTTTTGGGGTAAAGTTTGTGTACTCCCAAAATCTTTGCCGAAGCGTGGAAAAAGTTCGCCAAAATAACCCCCTCGAGAAAGCTCAAGTGGCGGGGCTCTCGGGAGCTCCATCTCGCGCAGCGGTAGCCAACTGGTGTGTCCCGAGCCGCGTGCGCCTCTTTAATCCACCGCACACGGATCTACCGAAGGGGCATAACGTAGAACGTACGATCACAGTGGCAACGAATAGTGAATGTCTCCCGTGTTGTGCCGAAAACTGTCAAGATATATACACTCGCGTATACGCTTGGCTCTTTGCAGAGCTCATGGATAACCTTTTGGCTCTTGGTTCGTTGCAGGTTGGCCACCCCTGCTCTAGTGTATGCCGTTCTGCCAGCAATGGCATGCGCAAGCAATACCTTTGTATATGTAAATATATATACACATTTTGTCTAGAGATATTTGCTCGCGTAAATCCAAAGCAGAGAGCCACGAGTCGGCTCAGGAAGTGGGCTTGGTGGTTGCAGTAATCTCATGCGGCCAGTGGGATTAGCAAACGAGACCGATGCGATCTCTCAGTGGCTCGGATGCTGCGCTGTGCAATCCTCCGGTGTCCCAAGTTCTCCCTTCTGCATCTGGATGCTTTCGCTTGACTCAAATGAGCCTCAGACAAGTCCGAATGCCAAATAAACCCGGAATGTGACGAGATCTTGTCAGTTGTTACGATTTAGCACCGGGTTCGTAAGTGGATGGAAGATTTCCAGGGAGCACTCTGTGCTGTTGGCTAGGGCTGCGAGATGGCCAGAAGGCAATACAGCAAACGGATTCTTGAAGCTATCTGTGTGGAGCTTTCAATGCTATCTCCTGCTGTGCATAGATTTTCTCTTGGTAATCCAGTTTCCTCCCACAAGAAGCCAAATATTGGCCAATAACCCAAAAGGAGGACCCTCCTGAAAAAGAGTCTCAAGACTCAGCGAGGCTCTCCTGGTTATCAGGCACTACTCAATATCAGGTACAAGGACTACGATGTTAACCTGGTGCGTTGGCTCAGCGGTAGAGCAAGAGGCTCGCAATCACAAGATTGCAAGTTGAATTCCCGGTTGGGGATTGACTCGGCTAACAATTTGTGGGCAAGGTAAACAGTGGTTATCCGATGGATAGACTCAACCCCGTCATAAGAACGTGGAATTTCCACCATTGGCTCGGGACTGAAAGTGGCTTAGGACTGCAAACAGGTGATGAGCACTGCCTTAAAGTTCATTTGAAAAAAAGATATGGCTTTGACATTTTTGGACTACGATGTTAAGATTCTTCACAGCGACAACATTGTACCACGACCGCGAGGCGGTGAAGAAACTTGTTTTTTTTTCTTCTTCAAGAAGGAGGCTGCACTTACTGTCACCGGCAGAGACGAGTCCTCCACGGTGGAGAGGTTGACGGAGCAGGTGAATCTGTCCTTGTTGTCCAAGAATTGAAGGCTCAGGCAAGGCACGTGGCCGACAAAGATGTAGATCTCTGACAACGCGAGGTCCAAGTTTGAAGAGAAATTCTTTACAGGCGAGGGGTGGGCGGGAGGATGCAGAATTAAATAAATGAACAACAATTCTCAAAGCACAACTTCTCTGAGTGGCACGTGGACAACGTCGTAATTTTTTTTTTTTCAGATTGGTGGATTTCATTTTACAACACAATGCCTCGCTGTGTTTCTAAATATAATAGCTCCATTGTTTGCAGTAAGTAGTTTTGCATGGCGCACGGACAGGGTGGGATTAAACAGTGCAACAAAGCACCAGAGGCACATCTGTAATGTGTTTTTAATACACAGCACACAATGGGCTGTCACAGACGCCGTGTCTCCTTCCCGCTCTCTAATAGAAATGCCATTATTCGATTGTATTAGAACTAAACAACAGCACACACACATGCAATAGATTTTTGCGTGTTTTTGTTCTCCCACAAATGTGCTCGACAACGTGATTTTGGAGTCATTATTTAACAATGCATCAGAACGGAGACAAAACTAAACACATAATCATGGGGTTTATAATAATAACTTGATTTATTTATTCAGGAAAGGCCCACCGGGTCTCTAGAAAGAAGGGACCTGCAATGGGAAATGTATATGTTAAGGGGTGGTGTTCTCTGTTTGGGAGGATAGCTGAGCACCAGATTCCTTGCCATCACATCCCACATTGGACTCAATACCAGGAGTGATTCGGAGTCAAAATCAGTTGCATTTAGATGCTAGCATCATTATCGCCAGCAATGCTCAATCCACTGCTGGATGAAGGCCACCATTACAAAAAAAATGTCCCTCTAACTGTGCTGATGCACCACACATCTCCCTTGCAAACTAAACACGATTGTAAAACTCGACTATTTATATGGGACCAGGTAAGGCTCACTGAGCTATGCAGCTCTTTTTCAGAAGCGGCCTGGCCACAAATCACACCTCAACGAAGTGGCTTATCACGTGGGAATCTATCGCGGCCATACACATGTTTCTAAATGTTGGAGGGAAAAACCGGAATACCCGGAGAAAAATCCACATGACCACGGGGAGAACATGCAAACTCTAAATATACCTGCGTCAGGGTCGGGATCAAACCCACGACCTCCTGCATACCAGGCGAAGTAGTTAACATCTCGTCACCGGGGCACCCATCTGATGTGACGTAATTACACCTGTACACGTTTCATTTGTTTGTTACATTTTCATTCATCAACATCTGTATTTTGTAAACTGTGTATCGTAGCAGGAACAGTAATATGCTTTCATAAGATATGTTGCTTCGACACTCTATGATTGTAATTCCCACTGAATAGATTCAACGCTGCGCTCACTTCAAGCCACAGTCAATGGGAGTGTTCTGCTCAAATTAACATTGAAGCAGCACTCATCTCCGGTGTACAGCCCTGAGCCGGTAGTGGAAATTCCACATTCATATGGCGGGGGGCGAGTATATCCATAGGACAACCACCGATGAACTTCCCCACAGAGTGGACGCTCATTCCCGGCGGAGCATTGCCTCACCTTGAACGTCAGCTGGATTAGCTCCTTCTTCTGCAGCGTCGGCTTGTTGATCAACTCAAACCGTGGGTTTTCGTAGTAGTCAAAGTCCTGGATGCTGATGTGGTTGTCGAAATGGAACTGCGCTTTGACCCGCAGACGGCTGCCCGTCGTCCTGTTGAGCCGCGGGGACGGGCACTCGATCATCGGCTCTTTCGACGACGACGAGATGTTGCATTTCTGCGGACGGAAGCGGAGCAGAAGTCGGGGGGCAGTGGGGGCGGGGGGGGGGGGGGGCACGAGGGGCCGTTCAAGATGTACGGAGGGAGAACTAAACTTTTAAATAATTTTATTGTTTAGCAGGTGAAACCCACTGAGCTATATAGCTCTCTTTCAGAAGCGATCTCGCTGCAAATGATGGTTTCAAAGAAGTGGCTCATCATCCAGTGGATATTTATAGCAGCCACATACTGTGAAACGCACCACGGGGAGATGGGCGTCAGGGTCGAGCTCGAACTCACGACCTCCTGTATACCGGGCGAGTTAGTAAACATCTTACCACCGTGGCCTCCCCTGAATTGAGTGATCCGTGAAGGTTGAAGTGTGGGTGCGTTTTGGATTATAGTATGTATACAGGGAAGAGTTCACTGCCATCCCAGCTGCGAGAGTTCCGAATGGAGACGTCGTCTTATGACATCAAACCGGAGATGCACACCTCCTCCATAGAGGCCACGTGCGTTACTCTACAGACAGGACAGAGGGCATTGCTGTACAGGTGAGACGTGTTGGGATGAGATTGCTCAGATCGTGACAATCTTCAAGAAAGGAGACACGTACGAACGTGATTGCTTTTCTGTCCAGCACAGGAAAGATCACTGGGAAAACCCTCCTAAAGCGGATTGCGCTGTGAGTGGGATAGACCACACTGTGTGTGAGTGGGATAGGTTGTGCTGTGTGTGAGTGGGATAGACCACACTGTGTGTGAGAGGGATAGTCTGTGCTGTGTGTGAGTGGGATAGTCTGTGCTGTGTGTGAGTGGGGTAGTCTGTGCTGTGTGTGAGTGGGATAGTCTGTGCTGTGTGTGAGTGGGATAGACCACACTGTGTGTGAGTGGGATAGTCTGTGCTGTGTGTGAGTGGGATAGACCACACTGTGTGTGAGTGGGATAGTCTGTGCTGTGTGTGAGTGGGATAGTCTGTACTGTGTGTGAGTGGGATAGACCACACTGTGTGTGAGTGGGATAGTCTGTGCTGTGTGTGAGTGGGATAGACCGCACTGTGTGTGAGTGGGATAGTCTGTGCTGTGTGTGAGTGGGATAGTCTGTGCTGTGTGTGAGTGGGATAGTCTGTGCTGTGTGTGAGTGGGATAGTCTGTGCTGTGTGTGAGTGGGATAGTCTGTGCTGTGTGTGAGTGGGATAGTCTGTGCTGTGTGTGAGTGGGGTAGTCTGTGCTGTGTGTGAGTGGGATAGTCTGTGCTGTGTGTGAGTGGGATAGACCACACTGTGTGTGAGTGGGATAGTCTGTGCTGTGTGTGAGTGGGATAGTCTGTGCTGTGTGTGAGCGGGATAGTCTGTGCTGTGTGTGAGTGGGATAGTCTGTGCTGTGTGTGAGTGGGATAGTCTGTGCTGTGTGTGAGTGGGATAGTCTGTGCTGTGTGTGAGTGGGATAGTCTGTGCTGTGTGTGAGCGGGATAGTCTGTGCTGTGTGTGAGTGGGATAGTCTGTGCTGTGTGTGAGCGGGATAGTCTGTGCTGTGTGTGAGCGGGATAGTCTGTGCTGTGTGTGAGTGGGATAGTCTGTGCTGTGTGTGAGTGGGATAGTCTGTGCAGTGTGTGAGTGGGATAGTCTGTGCTGTGTGTGAGTGGGATAGTCTGTGCTGTGTGTGAGCGGGATAGTCTGTGCTGTGTGTGAGTGGGATAGTCTGTGCTGTGTGTGAGCGGGATAGTCTGTGCTGTGTGTGAGCGGGATAGTCTGTGCTGTGTGTGAGTGGGATAGTCTGTGCTGTGTGTGAGTGGGGTAGTCTGTGCTGTGTGTGAGTGGGGTAGTCTGTGCTGTGTGTGAGTGGGATAGTCTGTGCTGTGTGTGAGTGGGAGCGACCACACTGTGTGTGAGTGGGAGAGACTGTGCTGTGTGTGAGTGGGATAGTCTGTGCTGTGTGTGAGTGGGAGAGACCACACTGTGTGTGAGTGGGAGAGACTGTGCTGTGTGTGAGTGGGATAGTCTGTACTGTGTGTGAGTGGGATAGACCACACTGTGTGTGAGTGGGATAGTCTGTGCTGTGTGTGAGTGGGATAGACCGCACTGTGTGTGAGTGGGATAGTCTGTGCTGTGTGTGAGTGGGATAGTCTGTGCTGTGTGTGAGTGTGATAGTCTGTGCTGTGTGTGAGTGGGATAGACCACACTGTGTGTGAGTGGGATAGTCTGTGCTGTGTGTGAGTGGGGTAGTCTGTGCTGTGTGTGAGTGGGATAGTCTGTGCTGTGTGTGAGTGGGAGAGACCACACTGTGTGTGAGTGGGGTAGTCTGTGTTGTGTGTGAGCGGGATAGACCACACTGTGTGTGAGTGGGATAGTCTGTGCTGTGTGTGAGTGGGATAGACCACACTGTGTGTGAGTGGGAGAGACCACACTGTGTGTGAGTGGGATAGTCTGTGCTGTGTGTGAGTGGGATAGACCACACTGTGTGTGAGTGGGATAGACCACACTGTGTGTGAGTGGGATAGACCACACGTGTGAAGTGGGATAGTCTGTGCTGTGTGTGAGTGGGATAGTCTGTGCTGTGTGTGAGTGGGATAGTCTGTGCTGTGTGTGAGTGGGATAGTCTGTGCTGTCTGTGAGTGGGATAGACCACACTGTGTGTGAGTGGGATAGTCTGTGCTGTGTGTGAGTGGGAGAGACCACACTGTGTGTGAGTGGGATAGTCTGTGCTGTGTGTGAGTGGGATAGTCTGTGCTGTGTGTGAGTGGGATAGTCTGTGCTGTGTGTGAGTGGGATAGTCTGTGCTGTGTGTGAGTGGGATAGTCTGTGCTGTGTGTGAGTGGGATAGTCTGTGTTGTGTGTGAGTGGGATAGTCTGTGTTGTGTGTGAGTGGGATAGTCTGTGCTGTGTGTGAGTGGAAGAGACCACACTGTGTGTGAGTGGGAGAGACTGTGCTGTGTGTGAGTGGGATAGTCTGTGCTGTGTGTGAGTGGGAATGTCTGTGCTGTGTGTGAGTGGGAGAGACCACACTGTGTGTGAGTGGGAGAGACTGTGCTGTGTGTGAGTGGGATAGTCTGTGCTGTGTGTGAGTGGGAGCGACCACACTGTGTGTGAGTGGGAGAGACTGTGCTGTGTGTGAGTGGGATAGTCTGTGCTGTGTGTGAGTGGGAGAGACCACACTGTTTGTGAGTGGGAGAGACTGTGCTGTGTGTGAGTGGGATAGTCTGTACTGTGTGTGAGTGGGATAGACCACACTGTGTGTGAGTGGGATAGTCTGTGCTGTGTGTGAGTGGGATAGACCGCACTGTGTGTGAGTGGGATAGTCTGTGCTGTGTGTGAGTGGGATAGTCTGTGCTGTGTGTGAGTGGGATAGTCTGTGCTGTGTGTGAGTGGGATAGTCTGTGCTGTGTGTGAGTGGGATAGTCTGTGCTGTGTGTGAGTGGGGTAGTCTGTGCTGTGTGTGAGTGGGATAGTCTGTGCTGTGTGTGAGTGGGATAGACCACACTGTGTGTGAGTGGGATAGTCTGTGCTGTGTGTGAGTGGGATAGTCTGTGCTGTGTGTGAGTGGGATAGTCTGTGCTGTGTTTGAGTGGGATAGTCTGTGCTGTGTGTGAGTGGGATAGTCTGTGCTGTGTCTGAGCGGGATAGTCTGTGCTGTGTGTGAGTGGGATAGTCTGTGCTGTGTGTGAGTGGGATAGTCTGTGCTGTGTGTGAGTGGGATAGTCTGTGCTGTGTGTGAGTGGGATAGTCTGTGCTGTGTGTGAGCGGGATAGTCTGTGCTGTGTGTGAGTGGGATAGTCTGTGCTGTGTGTGAGCGGGATAGTCTGTGCTGTGTGTGAGCGGGATAGTCTGTGCTGTGTGTGAGTGGGATAGTCTGTGCTGTGTGTGAGTGGGATAGTCTGTGCTGTGTGTGAGTGGGATAGTCTGTGCTGTGTGTGAGTGGGATAGTCTGTGCTGTGTGTGAGCGGGATAGTCTGTGCTGTGTGTGAGTGGGATAGTCTGTGCTCTGTGTGAGCGGGATAGTCTGTGCTGTGTGTGAGCGGGATAGTCTGTGCTGTGTGTGAGTGGGATAGTCTGTGCTGTGTGTGAGTGGGGTAGTCTGTGCTGTGTGTGAGTGGGGTAGTCTGTGCTGTGTGTGAGTGGGATAGTCTGTGCTGTGTGTGAGCGGGATAGTCTGTGCTGTGTGTGAGTGGGGTAGTCTGTGCTGTGTGTGAGTGGGATAGTCTGTGCTGTGTGTGAGCGGGATAGACCACACTGTGTGTGAGTGGGATAGTCTGTGCTATGTGTGAGTGGGATAGACCGCGCTGTGTGTGAGTGGGATAGACCACACTGTGTGTGAGTGGGATAGTCTGTGCTGTGTGTGAGTGGGATAGACCACACTGTGTGTGAGTGGGATAGTCTGTGCTGTGTGTGAGTGGGATAGTCTGTGCTGTGTGTGAGTGTGATAGTCTGTGCTGTGTGTGAGTGGGATAGACCACACTGTGTGTGAGTGGGATAGTCTGTGCTGTGTGTGAGTGGGGTAGTATGTGCTGTGTGTGAGTGGGATAGTCTGTGCTGTGTGTGAGTGGGAGAGACCACACTGTGTGTGAGTGGGGTAGTCTGTGTTGTGTGTGAGCGGGATAGACCACACTGTGTGTGAGTGGGATAGTCTGTGCTCTGTGTGAGTGGGATAGACCACACTGTGTGTGAGTGGGAGAGACCACACTGTGTGTGAGTGGGATAGTCTGTGCTGTGTGTGAGTGGGATAGACCACACTGTGTGTGAGTGGGATAGACCACACTGTGTGTGAGTGGGATATACCACACTGTGTGTGAGTGGGATAGTCTGTGCTGTGTGTGAGTGGGATAGTCTGTGCTGTGTGTGAGTGGGATAGTCTGTGCTGTGTGTGAGTGGGATAGTCTGTGCTGTGTGTGAGTGGGATAGACCACACTGTGTGTGAGTGGGATAGTCTGTGCTGTGTGTGAGTGGGAGAGACCACACTGTGTGTGAGTGGGATAGTCTGTGCTGTGTGTGAGTGGGATAGTCTGTGCTGTGTGTGAGTGGGATAGTCTGTGCTGTGTGTGAGTGGGATAGTCTGTGCTGTGTGTGAGTGGGATAGTCTGTGCGGTGTGTGAGTGGGATAGTCTGTGTTGTGTGTGAGTGGGATAGTCTGTGCTGTGTGTGAGTGGGATAGTCTGTGCTGTGTGTGAGTGGGAGCGACCACACTGTGTGTGAGTGGGAGAGACTGTGCTGTGTGTGAGTGGGATAGTCTGTGCTGTGTGTGAGTGGGAGAGACCACACTGTGTGTGAGTGGGAGAGACTGTGCTGTGTGTGAGTGGGATAGTCTGTGCTGTGTGTGAGTGGGAATGTCTGTGCTGTGTGTGAGTGGGAGAGACCACACTGTGTGTGAGTGGGATAGACCACACTGTGTGTGAGTGGGATAGTCTGTGCTGTGTGTGAGTGGGAGAGACCACACTGTGTGTGAGTGGGATAGACCACACTGTGTGTGAGTGGGATAGTCTGTGCTGTGTGTCAGTGGGATAGACCGCACTGTGTGTGAGTGGGATAGTCTGTGCTGTGTGTGAGTGGGATAGTCTGTGCTGTGTGTGAGTGGTATAGACCACACTGTGTGTGAGTGGGATAGTCTGTGCTGTGTGTGAGTGGGATAGTCTGTGCTGTGTGTGAGTGGGATAGACCGCACTGTGTGTGAGTGGGATAGTCTCTACTGTGTGTGAGTGGGATAGTCTGTGCTGTGTGTGAGTGGGATAGACCACACTGTGTGTGAGTGGGATAGTCTGTGCTGTGTGTGAATGGGAGAGACCACACTGTGTCTGAGTGTGATAGTCTGTGCTGTGTGTGAGTGGGAGAGACCACACTGTGTGTGAGTGGGAGAAACCGCACTCCGTTGTGTGGCTACTCACGCTCACTTCCGTGCTGTCCAGGTGAATGCTCATAGCCACTTTCTGCGCCACGACTTCGCCCGTCAAGGAGACCTGGATTTGTCGTCCTCCCCTAAAGGGCGGCAGTGAAACGAGAGATGAAATGCACGCCAACAACTTGATGAACGACAACTGCACGATAAATCGACATCGTGAAGCTGCGTCCGTCGCCAAAGAGCCAACGGCACGTAGGGCACTATGATGTCACAGCGCACAGGAGATGCTCCCACCTGCACGTACACCTATGTATGCGCGGAGCTCTCGGAGATAGTTTAGAGATCAGCATAGCCACGGTAGATCTCCTATTCATCCATAATGCGAGGAGCAATAATCATAAAGACATTGTGAGCACGCGGTGCGTGTTGTGGCGCATTGGTGGCTTCAATTTTGTAACCACGGAGCCTCCACCCTTTGGACCTCCCTCCACATGGACCTCCGTTTGGCCTCCTCCCTCTCTCTGCATCAAGTCTCTGCTCAAAACCTTCCTGTTCAGCGGCGTGCCTTCGGACTCCCTTAACCGCTTCCTTTCTCTCCTGCCCTTGCTAAGCCCCCGTTCGCTCCTATTCTCCACATTTAATCCTAACCATCGGAGATGACCGGTAAGTTCCAGGTGCGTTATACACGTGAGTTGTTGTTTATTTTAATGTGTGAGGCCTTGCGGTCACTTGTAACCCAAGTGTTTGTTCTCTGGGCTGGGCTGCGCATCGAGCGTTTCCTCTCTCATATGCCCTCGGCCATGCATTACTGTGGGCAGCTTCGGGAATTTAATTGAAGATGTTCGCAGTAGCGCGTGGCAGAAGCTGAAAAGAAGAAATGCTCGGCACAGAGCCCAACCTGGGAACTTGCACTTGGAGTACGTCATTGTTGTTGATGTTGTTATTGTTTTGATTTAAAGCTTTCGTGACTGCAGGGATTCATATTCTTGGTTCTTTCGGTAAAGTCACGTAGAAGGGAAATAATAAAATAATATAAATATAATACAAGAATTATTATTATTTTATTATTTCCCTTCTATGTGACTTTACCGAAAGAACCAAGAATATCTTGTTATTGTTGTTGATGTTTTTATTGTTGTTGCTGTTGTTATTGTTGTTGATGTCGTTTGTAAGCACACTCACTCTTTGTGGCTCTTGTACGGGTGCAGCTTCACCACCATGGGGTTGTCGATGATTTTGAATTTATCCGTCTTTTCCAAGAGGCACTGCCTGCTGTCATCGCAGTGCAGGCAGATGTTTGTCTCGCCAACGCTGTCCCATTCTGGCATCTTGCACTTGATCACCGTGCTGATTTTACTGGGAAGAGACATACATTTGTTTAGTGAAACAAGTCCCAAGTTGATTTCGTTTCACAACTTGATCAACTCAAAATACCAGGCTAAGTTGAATTTGCAAAAGTGACATGGGACATTAGTCTTCGAGTAGGGGGGCGATGATTACCATGTGTATGGTGGGCGCCGCAGTGTCGAGATGTTAACTACCTCGCCCGGTGTACAAGGAGGTCGCGTGGATTTTAATCCGAGTCCTTCAGTTTTCCCTCCACAATTAGAATCAATGTGTGTTTTAGTTTTAATACGTGAACCAGAACGCTGCACGCTGTGCCGAGGTCTCCGACACGGTTCAATTTGGCCACTGGCCTACCAGGCAGTTGGCCGATAAGCCAGTCCTGGAGTTGGTCAGTGGCCAAATATTTTTATTTTACCAGGTAAGGCCCACTGAGCTATATAGCTTTTTCAGAAGCGACCTGGCCACAAATGATAGCTCAACTTAGTGGCTTATCACGTCGAAATTTATTGCAGCCAAATATTTAAAACGCGTGTTTCTAAATGTGGAGGGAAAAACCAGAGGACCTGGAAAAAATTCCACATGGCCTCGGGGAGAGAGAACATGCAAACTCCAAATACAGCAGGCGTCAGGGTCGGGATTGAACCCTTGACCTCCTGTATACCCGGCGAGGTAGTTAACATCTCGCCACCGTGGCGCCCTTGTGCAGATGGGCTACGTGGCATCAACTCGAGGCGTCCTCACTTGAGTATCGTGCAGGATTTGTTCGCATCAAGTCGGACATCAAGACTGGAGCCAACGTCCAGGTCCCTCCCCCTGATGGTGACCACTGTGCCACCAGCCTTGATCCCCTTCAGGGGCTCCACTTTGTCCACCTTGGGGTCCTGTGAGTGCGAGAGTCGTTGGGCTATGTTTTGTGGTTGTATTTGAGTTGTTTCAGGAAACCTGACAGGAAATTCTTGGGTCTCATTCCGGTTGCAAATGGCCGCGTGGAAAAAAGAGACACGTCAAGTGAGTTTTTATTTTGATTTAAAGCTTTCGTGACTGCAGGGATTCATCTTCTTGGTTCTTTCGGTAAAGTCACGTAGAAGGGAAGTAATAAAATAATAAAAATAAAACATAATAAAACAATTCTCACGACGTTTCGGCCACAACGCAAGCAGCCGTCTTCAGGTGAAAACCAGGTCCGTCGAGGCGACAGAGTCTGAATGAAACAGCACACGAGCTTGGAGCATATATATAAGCTGGGCGCATTGACAAAGGAATTTGCATATCAAAAGGAATTTAGCATATTTATGGGAAATGCAGGAATGTGATTAGTACTGCATATGCATGTGCATTATGCAGGATTAACAGCATCAAAGGGAGCTGCAGTTACTGCTGCTGCTGCAGTTGCTGCTGCTGCAGTTTCTGCTGCTGCTGCAGTTGCTGCTGCTGCAGTTGCTGCTGCTGCTGTTACTGCTGCTGCTGCACTTGCTGCTGCTGCTGCAGTTGCTGCCTTATCCATTTTAATATAACACTATGTATTATTCTACCCACCCTAATGTGTATCACACTGCTATATGTTTACTATACAATTACGACACCATACATTACTCTGCACACTGCACCATGCCAGTGAGTGGAACGCGGTCTGAAAGTCACCGTAAACGTGAACACAATCAGTTAAGATCCGAAATGGTTTATTACGTCCTTCCAATGATTGCTAAGCCAGAATCCATCTTCTCGGTTGAAATTGTCTCTGTGTTTGTATATGTGGATCGCCTCATGAACGAATCTCTCATGATAGCCAGATGGCTTGCAGAGAACCTCTGTCTTGGAGAAGTCAATATCATGTGAGCCCACTGAGTTGTAACAGTGATCTGCCACGGCTGAGGTGTTTGTCCTACCGTGTTTCAGGTCTGCCTTATGTTCACGGATGCGGTCCGAGACATGTCGTTTGGTTTCTCCAATGTAACTGCTACCACAGAGGAAACTTAGTTTGTAGACGCCAGGGTACTGTATGTCTGGAACCACATCTTTTACAGACGGGACCAGATCACGGATTTTATGTACTGTGTTGAATCGGACCTGGATCTTGTGTTTAATCAGGATTTTGGAGATCTTTTTTGTGACCCCAGCAATGTAGGGTAAGGTGATGGTCTTGAAAGGCTCCTCAACAGGATCCTTCTTGATGGTTGGAGTGATGGCTTTGCGGATTGTGTAGTCGGAGTAACCATTAGCCTTAAGAGCTTGGCGTACGTGTTTGAGTTCACTGGAAATGTGTTCATGGTCGGAGATGCATTGGGCTCTATGATATAGAGTCTTGATGAGGGAATTCTTCTGGGATGGATGGTGGTGGGAATCCGGTTTTAGATAAGCATCCGTGTGGGTGGCTTTCCTGTAGACAGAGTGGCTCATTGAACCATCAGGTCTCCTTTTGATTAGGACATCCAAAAAGGGTAGCTTGCCATCATTTTCGACTTCCATGGTGAATCTGATGGCTGGGTGTATGGAATTGATGTGGTCGAGAAATTGGTCTAGAGCAGGCCGGCCATGTGGCCAGATGACAAAAGTGTCGTCTACGTACCTCTTCCATAAGGTCGGGCGTAGAGTGGCAGTCTGGATGGCGTCCGTCTCAAATTTCTCCATGAAGATGTTGGCTACAACCGGAGATAGGGGGGAGCCCATTGGGGTGCCCTCAATTTGCTTGTAAAAGGTTCCATTCCAGGTGAAGTATGTATTGGTTAAGCAGTGTCTCACCAGGGGGGGTACCCCAGCATTCAGTCCTTGATGAACCAAGTCTTCAATGATTGCGATGGTGTCAGGCACAGGCACCTTGGTGAACAAGGAAACCACATCAAAACTGACAAGCAGGTCGTCTGGGGACAGGGCAATCCCCTTGATTGTCGATACCAGGTCAGTAGAGTTTAGTACTGCAGAGGTGGTTTTTCCAGTGAAAGGCCGTAGGATTTCGGACAAAAAACGAGCCAGTTTGTAAGTGGGGGAGTTGATAGTAGAAACAATGGGACGAAGAGGTGTATCTTCTTTATGTATCTTTGGCAAGCCGTACAATCTTGGTGGCCTGGCTGCAGAAGGTTTCAACGAGAACTGTTTGGTCTGATCAATTAATGCGGTTGAAGCAGAAATGATGTTGTTGGTTTTGGAGACGAGGCTGTTGGTGGGGTCTCTTTTTATTTTTGTATAGCTGCCATCGTTGAGTAGTTCTTGAATTTTGTTGTTGTATTCTATTTTGTCCATGATGACAGTGGCATTGCCTTTGTCGGCTGAGAGGATGACAATGTCATCCCTCTTTTTTAATTGAGCTAATTCAAAACGCTCATCTTTGCTGATGTTGCTAGCTGGCATCTTAGCGTTTTTATTATTTTATTACTTCCCTTCTACGTGACTTTACCGAAAGAACCAAGAAGATGAATCCCTGCAGTCACGAAAGCTTTAAATCGAAATTTAACCGCCTCTACGGGGAGGGTTTCCACATAACTTTGAGATCCTTCAACAAGCTCCGGGATAAGAAGGCTCAGCTAATCGAGTCTCTCACCTTTCTGAAGAGATGCCGCGACTCTAAGGTAATACCAAACGCATTTACACTAACATCTGCTGCTGTAACTTCTTCTAATGCGAAACGAATTCTGTCTAGAACTAGCTTAGCTCTTATCTCAGAGAAAATCAGACTTACGCGCACCAAACTAGATCAGTTAGACAAGACACTCTACAAATCACACTTATCTTTGAGTGTAACAATGTCCACATCGGATTGGGAACATGTAGAAAAAATGACTGCCTCTTCAGCTGCCGCTATGTCGACTAAGTGTAAGGACAACTTGATTTCCAAATTCAACCGCCTCTCAAACAAGAAACCGGACCCACACATTGAAAAGCTAGATGTTAACAAAGTCGTAATTAATCGCAGTAACAGTCCTATTTCTGAAGGTTTGAAATCCGTTTTAGCTAAAGGACTAAACTTTGCAGTCACACCTAGACACATACCAGTTAATGATATAATTGCTCGAGTAGATGTAGCTCTCAAGGGCTTGAGTCACATCGCTGCAGACGTAGCAAGATCTGAAATCTCTGTAACCCTCAAAAACGCTAAGATGCCAGCTAGCAACATCAGCAAAGATGAGCGTTTTGAATTAGCTCAATTAAAAAAGAGGGATGACATTGTCATCCTCTCAGCCGACAAAGGCAATGCCACTGTCATCATGGACAAAATAGAATACAACAACAAAATTCAAGAACTACTCAACGATGGCAGCTATACAAAAATAAAAAGAGACCCCACCAACAGCCTCGTCTCCAAAACCAACAACATCATTTCTGCTTCAACCGCATTAATTGATCAGACCAAACAGTTCTCGTTGAAACCTTCTGCAGCCAGGCCACCAAGATTGTACGGCTTGCCAAAGATACATAAAGAAGATACACCTCTTCGTCCCATTGTTTCTACTATCAACTCCCCCACTTACAAACTGGCTCGTTTTTTGTCCGAAATCCTACGGCCTTTCACTGGAAAAACCACCTCTGCAGTACTAAACTCTACTGACCTGGTATCGACAATCAAGGGGATTGCCCTGTCCCCAGACGACCTGCTTGTCAGTTTTGATGTGGTTTCCTTGTTCACCAAGGTGCCTGTGCCTGACACCATCGCAATCATTGAAGACTTGGTTCATCAAGGACTGAATGCTGGGGTACCCCCCCTGGTGAGACACTGCTTAACCAATACATACTTCACCTGGAATGGAACCTTTTACAAGCAAATTGAGGGCACCCCAATGGGCTCCCCCCTATCTCCGGTTGTAGCCAACATCTTCATGGAGAAATTTGAGACGGACGCCATCCAGACTGCCACTCTACGCCCGACCTTATGGAAGAGGTACGTAGACGACACTTTTGTCATCTGGCCACATGGCCGGCCTGCTCTAGACCAATTTCTCGACCACATCAATTCCATACACCCAGCCATCAGATTCACCATGGAAGTCGAAAATGATGGCAAGCTACCCCTTTTGGATGTCCTAATCAAAAGGAGACCTGATGGTTCAATGAGCCACTCTGTCTACAGGAAAGCCACCCACACGGATGCTTATCTAAAACCGGATTCCCACCACCATCCATCCCAGAAGAATTCCCTCATCAAGACTCTATATCATAGAGCCCAATGCATCTCCGACCATGAACACATTTCCAGTGAACTCAAACACGTACGCCAAGCTCTTAAGGCTAATGGTTACTCCGACTACACAATCCGCAAAGCCATCACTCCAACCATCAAGAAGGATCCTGTTGAGGAGCCTTTCAAGACCATCACCTTACCCTACATTGCTGGGGTCACAAAAAAGATCTCCAAAATCCTGATTAAACACAAGATCCAGGTCCGATTCAACACAGTACATAAAATCCGTGATCTGGTCCCGTCTGTAAAAGATGTGGTTCCAGACATACAGTACCCTGGCGTCTACAAACTAAGTTGCCTCTGTGGTAGCAGTTACATTGGAGAAACCAAACGACATGTCTCGGACCGCATCCGTGAACATAAGGCAGACCTGAAACACGGTAGGACAAACACCTCAGCCGTGGCAGATCACTGTTACAACTCAGTGGGCTCACATGATATTGACTTCTCCAAGACAGAGGTTCTCTGCAAGCCATCTGGCTATCATGAGAGATTCGTTCATGAGGCGATCCACATATACAAACACAGAGACAATTTCAACCGAGAAGATGGATTCTGGCTTAGCAATCATTGGAAGGACGTAATAAACCATTTCGGATCTTAACTGATTGTGTTCACGTTTACGGTGACTTTCAGACCGCGTTCCACTCACTGGCATGGTGCAGTGTGCAGAGTAATGTATGGTGTCGTAATTGTATAGTAAACATATAGCAGTGTGATACACATTAGGGTGGGTAGAATAATACATAGTGTTATATTAAAATGGATAAGGCAGCAACTGCAGCAGCAGCAGCAAGTGCAGCAGCAGCAGTAACAGCAGCAGCAGCAACTGCAGCAGCAGCAACTGCAGCAGCAGCAGAAACTGCAGCAGCAGCAACTGCAGCAGCAGCAGTAACTGCAGCTCCCTTTGATGCTGGTAATCCTGCATAATGCACATGCATATGCAGTACTAATCACATTCCTGCATTTCCCATAAATATGCTAAATTCCTTTTGATATGCAAATTCCTTTGTCAATGCGCCCAGCTTATATATATGCTCCAAGCTCGTGTGCTGTTTCATTCAGACTCTGTCGCCTCGACGGACCTGGTTTTCACCTGAAGACGGCTGCTTGCGTTGTGGCCGAAACGTCGTGAGAATTGTTTTATTATGTTTTATTTTTATTATTTTATTACTTCCCTTCTACGTGACTTTACCGAAAGAACCAAGAAGATGAGTTTTTATTTCTAAGTTAATTTCGTCGAGTGTTTGAAAAATGCCGAGAAATGTTAAAGTTTAAGTTCCCCCAAAGTCTCCATTTGGCCATTATTTGTTTGACTTGGATGTTTAAACGCACCTCCGATTAGCACGTATGGTGCGAAAGAAGTTCAACATACAAACGTCCATATACAACACCATTCCCAACTCTCGGCTCAATAAAACGGCGTGGAATGGCGAGAGAGTTGAGAAGGTCGTGAGATTATCGTGGTAGGGAAATGCTTTTTTACCCAATTCAAAAGTCGCATGGTCCATATGGCTCGATAATCATCATCTTTCAGAATCTTAATTTTAGACTGCAGGCGGAATCCCATAAGCTATGAAGCTCTTTGTCAACACGTGTCCCGTATGGACGGGTCAGCAAGTTGCAGCAACAAAACAAAAAGAGATAGGAGTGCAACATGGAAAAAAATGTGAGCAGGTCACAAAAAATAATAATAATAATTAATTAAGTCTGCTTTATCAACCTTGAGCAAGGCAGAAAAAATAACAATGAAACAGTCCCAGACCACACCAAGACAACACAGCAATAGTGGTCCCTCGATAAAATGACATTTACAGTGAACTATCGATATACTGGAAAGGATCATGGTTACAAATCACATTTGCAAATGTGGCTGTGTCCAGCACTAATGTTTTGCTTCAGGATATTTTTTTTTAGAATGACCTCTTAACTCAACAACCCTTTAAGCCAAAAATGAAACGAGTTTTCGGAAACGAATTCCCAGATATAAAGTCTCATAACCAACTCCAAGTCAATCAATCTCTCTGTCCTCTCTGTGTGCTCTCAAACAAGGCCACGAGTGAAAATTCCATCCCAACTATGTGTTTTTATGTTAAAAGGCAAAGTCAAACGAGTCTTTTTTGTTGTTGTATCAACTCTGTAAATACATTGTCCGGTGACACTGCATCGGCAGGGGTGCACACTCACAAACAACCAAAACAAGACTACACACATTCGTCAAAAATAACACCGTCGCTTTAAAAGGAACGCTCTGTCATCGGCGGTGATTCAGGCAATGGCCCTTCATATTCTTAGGTTTTTACGTGATTTTTTAAAATTTATTTTTTATTAATTTTGATGTTTTACCTACGTGACTTTACCGAAAAAACCTAAGAATATGAATCCTTGCAGTCACGAAAGCTTCAAATCTAGAATTAATGGCCCTTCAGTGCTGTGGAGGACCATTGCCCCAAATTTAGACTCTGATATATTTTTCCTTTAAAGGCTAAAACAACTACAAAGATCCCCCGTGTAGCCTTAACAGACTGTTGGGGCAAGTGCTGTTAGCGAGCACCTATGAAGACCGGCACGGCACACGAGGAGGTGGGTGGCCAGCACCACCCCCGGCCGCCTTTGTCTCCCTCGTGGTAATATTTACACACCACACCAGGTACTAATTTGAGACTGAGTCAACCTAGGGGAGGCCCAGGACCGGTTCAGATAATCGTCAATGGTGTTGAGCGGGACTCGAACGTGGGTCACCAAGGTTCGTAGCGTGGCGCGCTAATCGCCACACTACCGCTCCCCACACACAGTGTCCTCGACGAATGAGTTGAGATTTTGTTATACGTATATGTATACGATACGAAGCTTGTGTCGAGTTAAAGAGGCACCCGATAGGCAGGGCTACCATCTGGAACTCACCGTGTATGTGTAAGTGACGGTGGACTCCGACACTCTCCCATTCACGTGCACGTGCACCTGGCTCCCGGTGACGTTGCTGCGACTCGTGATGCACACGATGCTGTCGAAAAAAAGGAACGTGGCATTTATTGTTTACGTTCGATGTCCCCCTAGGTCGACTCAGCATTAAATGAGTACCTGGTGTGGGGGGGGTAATATAGGAAGCAAAGGCGGGCCAGGCTTGGTGCTGGCCGCCCACCCCCACACATGTACCGTGACATTCTCAATAGGTGCTCGCAAACAGCGCTTGCCCCAACAGTCTGTTAAAGGCCGTGCCAGGGATGTGTTTTTAATATGTATACAACTTTACAGGTAAGGCCCACGAAGCTATAAAGCTCTTTTTCAGAATCAACCTGGCCACCAATGATAGCTCAACGAAGCGGCTTATCACGTGGACATTCCTAGCAGCCAAATACTCGTGAAACGTTGATCCTAAATGTGGAGGGGAAAAGCCGGAGGACCCGGAGAAAACCCCACGGGGAGAACATGCAACCTCCAAAATACACAGCAGGCATCGGTGTCGGGATCGAACCCACGACCCCCTGTATACCAAGCGAGGTGGTTAACATCCCGTCTACCGCGGCGCACGCATAGAGCCACACACACCGCTTGGACACTTCGTAGAACTCCTTCAGCGGGCTGCAGCGGGCTCCTCCGATGAAGAGCCCTTGCTCAATGTCCTCAAAGCGGCCGCCCATATTGCTGCCCGTGATGGTGACGCGAGTGCCTCCTTGGAGTGGACCACTCTGGGGAGAAATCTAAACAAACAACGGGCGAACGACGTAAGTAAGCAAGGCACGAGCTCTGTGGCGCTGCTGCGGGGTTAACGAGGTGAGAGGCCACCCACTGCGATCGGCACGCTCGGCGGTCACTCCCCCTCGCGCAGCCTCACGACGGTGCGCGTGTGTGTGTGCACGCGTGTGTGTGTGCGCACGTGTGTGTGTGTGCACGCGTGTGTGTGTGTGCACGCGTGTGTGTGTGCACGTGTGTGTGTGCACGCGTGTGTGTGTGTGCACGCGTTTGTGTGTGTGTGCACGCGTGTGTGTGTGCACGTGTGTGTGTGCACGCGTGTCTGTGTGCACGTGTGTGTCCACGCGTGTGTGCACGTGTGCGCGTGTGTGTGTGCACGTGTGTGTGCACGTGTGCGTGTGTGTGTGTGCACGCGTGTGTGTGTGTGTGGGGAGAGGTAGTGCAGCGGTTAGCGCTACGCTGCACTACGAACCAGGCGACCGGGGTTCGATTCCCGCTCACGGCCAACACCAGTGACGATAATCTGTTCCGGTCCTGGGCCTCTCCTAGGTCGACTCAGCCTCAAATGAGTACCTGGTGCGGTGTGTAAACATCGCCACTGGGGAGACAAAGGCGGCCAGGCGTGATGCTGGCCACCCACCCCCATGCTTTCTGTGCCGGCCTTCATAGGTGCTCGCAAACAGCACTGGCCCCAACAGTCTGTTCAGGCTACGTGGGGGATCTTTGTATTTGTAAATGCTTTCGTATGCATCTCTGCATCATAACATACTTTCCTGAGCAGGTGATCACTAGCTGCACTTGCCACTACAGTTGATCAGATTAAACGTTATAAATCCGCCTTCCTGTTTTGGGTGGTGCTGTGGTTAGAACACTGTACTGCAAACTTGTCATCGGAGTTCAGTTCCTGGTCTTGGGTTCAACTCTGGCGAGTGGTAGTTGGTACAATCCTGCTCCCTCCACCGCGCCTTCCCTTGACCCTTTCGCCAACCCAAACTGACCGGCATGGTGAAGTATGATCAAATATTAATAAAAAAATGCCAAATTTCAATTCACGGCAGTTATTTTTGTTCCCAAATCTCTCATGGCGTGACTGGTGTCCGACAGCGTACATCAAAACTTGACCAATAGTTTTCACTGCGAGAACAAAAAAGAAAAAAAAACTCACGACTTTCACGTCATTACAGAAAAGCTACGTTTTCATTAAAAATAATAACTTCTCTAACCCCACACTAATCAGCATGGCCAAGTAGACAGCTTTGGGTGGCCACCATCCAGTAGTGGATCAACATACAGTGCTGTATATCATCAATAAAATTATTTTCAATCATGACTCAATGTCTACAAAATAATAAATTTCACAAGTGTCAATTAAAAACCCTTCAATTGTCAACTTCCTTACAACTACCCCGGTTGTATCACGGCCCTTCCAGCGTAGGGCGTCATTTCTGTCTCCGCTCAGAAGAAGCAGCAGAAGAAAAAAGAAGAGAGGCCATTGCATGGGTGAGCGATGTAACCAGCGGTAGAGCGTTTGCCGCTTGTTACAAAGGTTCTAAGTTCGAATTTGGCAGGGCACCCTGGTCATCACTGCAGCGAGTGTTAACCATTGCATCGTACGCGCCGACAGCTTCACAGTGAACGTTAAAGGTCGTGTGAAGTCATTCGAGGTGAGCAGGACATTGAGTGCGCGTGGGCGTGATGGTAAAAAATTGCCAAATCCGAAATACTTCAACTGCAAATTGCTCAGTGGGGATTACACGCACAGCAGCATCGCCGACCGTCACTGGCAGACCAATGCCGACTTGCAGGCAAGGTGTCGCCTTGTGCCACACGTGGACAGCTGTCACTGGGGGTGCCCATCGAATTGCGGAGATAAGGTGCTTTGATTTGCGGAGGCAGTTATACTGTACATGTAAATATTTCGATTTAAAGCTTTCGTGACTGCAGGGATTCATCTCCTTGGTTCTTTCGGTAAAGTCACGTAGAATGGAAATAATAAAATAATAAAATAATAAAACATAATAAAATAATTCTCACAATTATTATATGAGAATTATTTTATTATGTTTTATTTTTTATTATTTTATTATTTCCATTCTACGTGACTTTACCAAAAGAACCAAGAACATGTAAATATTATGAATGTTTTTTGTTAAATATATATACCATGGACCCCCATCTTAATTATATCGCTGAAGTCCGCCGGACTTTTTGTTTGTCCTGAACCCCCCCCAACAAAGCAAGGTCCAGTACTCGTCGTGACCGCGAGTCTGACCTGTGTCACGACCGGCGCCGGGCACTCCCCGATGGGCTGCCGGCACGTGGTGTTGAGCCTGCAGCCGGGGGCGGCGTCGTCGGCCGTCGCGCACCACTCGCACCGCAGCTGCCGGTGACGCATGGCCGAGCATTGGCCGCAGTCCACGGTTGCTCCACCGCACGTGTAAACCTCCACTGCGGTCGCGGCCGGGCCACAGCGGGACACACGGGGACAGAGAGAGAGGGAGGGAGAGGAAAGGAGAGAGCGAGAGGGCAGGGCTCACTCAACACTCACAGTGAACGTCGTGACCCAGGGCCAGGTCAGCGCAAGTGCTTTGGGTGCCACGGCCGGTTGGGGCCTTGGATTTTGAGGGTCCCCCAAATGTATACGTACAGCTTTATAATAGTTTCAATACCAGATTTTAGCACTATGATAAATCCTACAGTGTCATGTGGTCATTTAAACCCACAGCTTTAAGTGCCAAGAAGATGCTTGGTGCAGTTTCAAGCGAAAACGTCACGTTATATTGTTGCTAAATTCGGTTGTGAGAATTGATCTTCAACTTGGCGGTGAGCTCGAACAATAACAATTGCCTCGTTAAGCTCTTGTACACCGCGTGAACATTTCATTTGTTAGCCCATGTTGGGTGGTGGTGGGTTTAATGACGTAAATTTGACCAAGACATTACGTGGCTGCCTAACCTAAAAAAAAAATCGCTCATGAATCATACCATCGCAATGTTTTTACGACCAGTTACGTGGCAAAAATATGAATGTGTTCCGTTTATTTTAACTTTGATGGAGCTTTACAATTCGTGAATCACATTTAAAAACTGGACCTAAAATAACGAAAGGGAACAACCATGCAGTGTTTGGCTTTGGGCACGGGTGGTGATAAATCAGTAGAGGATTGGCCCCCCAAAACTAGAACAATGGGCCCCCCATCAAACTTAATCCGACCCTGATAAATGACAATCACCAATGACGATGATGATGGCGAATAAAATGTTGATGACAACGATGATGATGATTTATGATTCTGATGATAGGATGATGATGTTAACAAAGTTACTTTGACAACTTCTGCTGCTGATACTGCTGATGATGATAATTAAGCCACTACTGCTGCTAATGAAGATAATGTGGCTGTTGACGGTGGTAAAAATGCAGCTGCTGATTGTGGTGATGAAAATAGCCATCATGATGATGATGGTAATAACATTGAAGGCAAGGATGATGATAAAATTGACAATGGTGACAATGATGATATGGCTACTGCTACTGGTGCTGATGGTAAGAATGGTGCGGATTTTGCTGCTGTTGACGCTGCCGAGAATCACGCTTGAGTGTTTTTTTGTTAATGTCGGTGTACCGAAGCAAACCTTGTATGTTATCTGGGTTGTCAACTGAAGCACCGTTGCTCTTCCAAGCCAAATTCACCGGAAATATTTCCGATATCATGTTGGTTGTCAGCTGAAACACAAGCCAAGATAACTTCATGGTCACAATTCACACGCAAGAATGAAAACCCCACGTACCATCAACCCCACGTACCATCAACAGCTCTCTGACGTCCAGGCAATGCATACGTATCGGTGCCAACTAAAAAATGTTCTGTTCATTATTCGAAGAACCACTTGTGTATACATCTCAACGTCACATATCCGCCCAGACCAATGAACTGCCCATACCCAGCTTATTTTAGTCGGTACCCCCCCCCCCATCAGCTATCCTATTGGTTATTGATGGTTGGAACGTCTATCAAGACCATGAGATCAACAATCTTGGTGTCCTTCTAGATCAAACTTTATCCTTACAGCCCCATGTCAACAGAACCCTAAAGAACCTCTTTTCTTTCCACCTGAGAAACACATCCCGGCTCCAACACATCCTTAACACTGCAGACACTGAAAGAGCGATCCACGCGTTTGTTTTCTCCCACATTGACTACTGTAGTGCCCTGATTTTTGAAACCCTGAGGAAACTCCTGAACAGTCTGCGGTGAATTCAAAACACGGCCGCCAGGTTGCTAACTGCTCACACCTTTCAAGGATCACATCACACCTGTCCGTTCACCGGCTCCCTGTCCGTAGCCGTAGTCATTTTAACATTCTCTTGCCGGTGTTCAAGCACTTCAATGGACTTGCTCCTCCTTGCATGACCTCCTTCGGCCACGTATATTCCATCAAGGTCATTACGGTCTTCAGACTGTTGTTTGCTCACTGTCACCACGGTCTCGGCGCCTTCGCAATTGCGGCACCTGAACTCTGAAGCTCGTTGACCTTCCGAGGTCAGGGGACTTTGCAGGCACTTTACAAATCTTCAAATCTCGACTAAAAACGTATACAGTACGTGTATGATGGCTTTCTCTCTCTAGCTATTTTCAAACGTCTTTCTCACTTCGTCTTTCCTTGGTTGTTGTTCAACTATTTCTGCCTTGCCATGCATAACGCCCTGAGAATGATTGTTTAAGGGCGCTAATTCTGATTATCAGTGTCTGTGCACGGTGTATCTGTCATTTCCTGCAGATGGTCACAAATCCAACCTTTTTATTATAATAATGCAATTTATGACGCGCGCAAATTTGCGGACGTAACGGCCACAACTCAGAGGCTCAGAGCCAAGCTCAGGGTCACTCAGTCGCGTGTTAGCTGACTTTCGCTTAAGTCTAACGCACGGTTCACAGCATTTCACGTCTCTACAGGTTTTCGCTTCACTTTTGTCATTTCCTCCGGATGTTCGCGTGTACAGTCTGCGACCGTTTTCACATATCCGCCTGCATCTCAGTCCCCAGCGAGTAAGCTACGCAACGTTTAATCCTAGTTTAACACGTAAGTTTTCGCGACCAAAGTTATTCGTAATATTAAACCCCCCTCTGGTCTCCACACCCGACGAGATTTTGTGTTTTATTTTTAAAGACCGGAACCAAAAAGACTTCTTCACAATTCTGGCGAAATGGCCTGATGAAGCTGGTTGTAATTACAAGCAGCGAAACGTCGTAGTTAAATTGTAAATGTTGTGGGTTTACTCTCCAACACGAAGTCGTAAATAGTTTTGTTCACGTGACAAATCTTACCGGGTTTGCCTTGTGGTGGTGGCTTAACGACAACATTTATATTCACGTTGTAACCTTACTTGGGGACACCTGACGTACGGGGCTCACCTTTACGGGAGAACATCTGATGGTGTCTGCGTCGACCCATTCTGCATCTACGATGATTTTCGTCCCAATCTTGCACACAAGCTTCACATTCTTGTCCTGCAAAGAGGCACGCCCATTCATTCAAAAACTTCCTTTTTAGCTGCAACTATTTATTTCAAGGGAACACCTGAGAAATTATTAGAAGCATAATGATCTATCCACCCATTGATACGTATTTATTCTTCGATATGAATCCAAATAACACAAAATGGCCGAGGCAATTAAATATTTTATTTCTGGGACACTATTTTTTCCAGGAGTGTACTTAACTCCGCGACTGGGGTACCAATCAATCCGAAATCAGTGCCACTCCGCGATGTCGAAACGCAGCGAGGACGATGATTGCGCTGAGACCCTGAACGCTCGCGGTACGCACCGTAGTGGTGCATCGTGTACACCATAGTAGTGGTGCATCGTGTACACCATAGTAGTGGTGCATCGTGTACACCATAGTAGTGGTGCATCGTGTACACCATAGTAGTGGTGCATTGTGTACACCATAGTAGTGGTGCATCGTGTACACCATAGTAGTGGTGCATCGTGTACACCATAGTAGTGGTGCATCGTGTACACCATAGTAGTGGTGCATCGTGTACACCATAGTAGTGGTGCATCGTGTACACCATAGTAGTGGTGCATCGTGTACACCATAGTAGTGGTGCATCGTGTACACCATAGTAGTGGTGCATCGTGTACACCATAGTAGTGGTGCATCGTGTACACCATAGTAGTGGTGCATCGTGTACACCATAGTAGTGGTGCATCGTGTACACCATAGTAGTGGTGCATTGTGTACACCATAGTAGTGGTGCATCGTGTACACCATAGTAGTGGTGCATCGTGAGTACAGCTCGTCGAGATGAGTCGATTGCCGCATCGCCGACCATCAACAGACTAAACGTGACTGCATCACGGACATTATGCGAGAGCCGGGCTACTATGGTACCCCCCCCCCCCCCCCCCCGGGGTACCGCCATAAGGTTCATATATGCCAAAGGGGTAATGATTTCAACGCTGGACTTGTGATCCAAAGGCCTCTGCTTCGATATCCCGGCACGGCAGTTGAACCAATGGTGCAAGTTTCTTAGATCTCCCCCCCCACACCCCGCCTCTTGTCTGCCCAGCGGCACACGTGGGTACATGGCAGCCGTTCAGTCGGCACGTGGCATGCGGTGGGGTAAAGTGTGGGCACTGCCACCTGTTACAAAACATCTTTGAGGGCGAGGAAGAGTTGGAAAAAAAAAAACATTGTAAAGGACCTCTCTAGAGCTGCCTCTCCAGTGGAGGCCCTTCCACCAGCAGTCGTGCAAGCAAAGTGCAATTGCAGGGGCTGCACCTTCAGTTTGTCTGTATGTAATGGGTTTTGCATCACCCCTTGCAGCCACGAGAGGGGCCTCAACATGTAAATTGAGAAACTGAACAAAGATAACAATTCGCAGAATCTATGCACTTGCGTCGAAGTGGGGGGAGTTGAGGTGAGGGAGAGGGGGGAGGTGGGGTGGGGTGTATCATTCCACTCCAATGAATAACAGACGTGAGAGCTCTTCGTCGAGAATAAAAAGAAACCGCTGAGTTACTGAGTAACTGTCAAAATTTGGGATTAGTCACGATGGCAATTTGTGGGCGATGGCCCACGCCTGCTAACGGTGCCACGGTGTGTGTGGTTAATGTCCCCCTCCGGCGTTGGCAATAAACCCACAACAGCCAGTGGGCGGCTGCGGATATCGCATTGTTGACCCAAGAGCAATTACTGTACACTTCGGGAGTGAGCGGCTCCGACTGCTGGTCCACGCGCTTAATCCGAGACCATACGCAGCTGCCAAGCTGTCACATCAAACGGGAAAATAACGCAGAATGAACAGCTACCGGAGGCGGCGGACAGTTAAACGGCTCTTGTGGGAGTCTTCGTACGAAGATGGGTCAAGATTAAGGAAGGGCTATGCCTGCAGTGAGAGCAGATGCTGCTGGCAGGCGCTGGTGGGTGGACTGGGATTGGACCCTTTCCCACCGCACAATCTGCAGTGGGCACGTGGTGAATGCGTTGTGAGAAATCAGATCTCTTTAACAGTTGTAATAGGTCGTAAATCTAACGCATAATTCGCTTTACTGTGGTCTTCATTGCCAGAGCCCAGCTGGGTTCAGAGAGGATTCTTAATTAAATTTTTCCAGGCCCAAGCACTTTGGGTTGTTAGTTGGTTGTTTGATTACATCTGGAAACAGTGGGATGTTGAATCTCCAGTCACTTGCTCACTGGCAGTCAGTCGCCCCCTTATCACCGTTGTTTCCCTTCTCGCATGGCTTGTGAACTTCACTCGTTGATTTATCCACCCATGTTGAGGATGCAGGATAGAAGACGCGACTGTTTCGTGTCATCCATAAAGTATGCAACCGCCACACTGTAGATCACTTCTCTCCCTGTTTCCCACACACTGCTCTACTTTGGAATTCTCTCCCATCGTCTCCTTTCTTGAGCTAGTATAATAACATCGCGCAATTAAAACCACGTGTTTACCACCCACCTCCCGTTCAGGATGGACACACACATAGGAAAGATAGACAGACAGAGATGGACAAACGGATGGACAGATCGAGCTAATGCCTAAATGTTTTTTTATTGAGTTAGTTTCTAACATCAACAGGAAATGTATACTAAATTTGGGTTCATATTGGTTCACATCTTTACAGGATTTAAAATATATATATGTATTTTAGAAGCGTCCTGGCCACAAATGATAGCTCACGTGGACATTTACAGCGCGCCAAATACTCTAAAACGCATGTTGATTCTAACATTCAAACTTCAAATATACAGGTGTCAGGGTCGAGATCGAACCCGCGACCTCCTGTATACCAGGCGAGGTAGTGAACATCTCACCACCGAGGTAGTGAACATCTCACCACCGTGGCACCCCATCATGCCCCTGCCCCGCTATGAACGGACAGACGGACAGAGATGACGGACAAATGCTTCCACCGTCCTGAGTCGAAACGCTGAAACAAGAGCCACGGGGTGTTGCCGAGTCTCCGGGCGACAGTGGGGTACCTTGATGGCCTTGGTGTTGGTGGTGTTGAGGAAGAGGGATGTCGTGCTCCCACTCGCGGAGGGCTGCCGCGCGCTGGAAGAGGCCGTGATGCGGGGGCAAGCACTTGCATCCTGGCAGGAAATGGCAATCACGCAGTGCTTCGCCACGCCAAAACCGCGCCAAGCAGACGCACCTGGCCGCACGAAGCGTCGGAACATCACCGTCAATCAACGGCGTTGGTTGATCGCGCTGCACTCGTGAAACTCCCTCGCCAATTTTTTTGCTAGAACTGCTTTTTGTTTGTTTATTTGTTGTCCTTCCTCCGCACCTCCGATAACCACGGTTGGCAACGTATGGCGCGAAAGAAGTTCAAGGTACTGTACCTACAATCCCTACCCGTAGGCGTCCAGGTCGCTATCTCCAGGCTTGCAAGAGCATGGCAGTACGCCAAGTGTGTTAATGTCCATCTGTATTCCATCTATACGATGATTGAGTGTTTTAACCCACCCACCACCACCACCGCCACCCGCCCCCGTGGGTTTTTTTCCAGGCCCTGCGGTTTCCTCCCACATGTAAAAACACTCGTGAATGGAGTTGGCCAAACTTCCCAATGTAGAACTGTAGAGCTTGGGAAAATGTTGTGGCACCGGCCGTGACTGCCTTCCCCACCAATCTGTGGTTTCCCGCGCCTCTGAATCATTCTCTCGCTCTCACTCAGAGGCGAACGAAAACTGTGAGCGCTGCACATTCCAAATTATTAAATTGTTAAGTATGATCCCACTAAGCAACGTAGCCCCGTCGTGATTTAACCTGTGACCTATTCAATCAACCTATAAGTTTATTGAAACATCATTTGTATTATCCCTATTTGTGCAGTTTTTTTCGGTTTTGTTTTTCTGAGAAAACATTTTCACTTGTGTAGGTGAGCATATAAATTGTCTGTCCGTCCCTTACATGAAATTTAGCGGTTGCTTTTTATGCAATGGAAAATGTAATCCAGACGGGTTTCTCATTCTCAGATGAAATACACATGGCTTGGCTGGTGTGTGCGTGTTCCTAGAAAAAAAGCAACACGCATGGCTGCCCAAGATTAAAAAGAAGAAGAAAACGGACGGAAACTCATGCAATTACATTGCAAGCACTTTGACAATCAAAACATATGTGAATTATTAATAACAAATAATAGCGAAAATAATGTCAATTGTACCTTCACTCAATCCGCTGCTGAATGAAAGCATACGCATGCATATCAGTCGTGGGTGATTTATTTCAACTCGATAGTAAGTGTGTATTGGTGAGGTTATCCATTGTTTTAAATCAAACTAAAATTCAGTCAATGGACGGTGTTAATGATGATAGTTGTGAATATTTGTGTTCTCTTTTGTGGGTCTATTGTATTCATTCGAGTGTCCATACGCACCATTGGCAAGATTCGATTCTATAAAAATATAAATTGGCAATTTAGTTTTCGATTATTTGCGAGTAGCTGTAGCCTTCAAAATATACCTCTGGTAAACAAAACACTTTGTCACGTGTGACCAGTAAAAGATTTGAGGTCAGAAGTTTAATCGGCGGAGCGGAAGTCTGAGTACTGTGCCGTGAATGCAAACAGTTTTAACTTGATTCGTAGCAATGGCTAACATCAGTGGCGAGTGATCATCATAGCAACATGCGTTTAGACTATTCAGATAATTTTGCTGCTTTAAATGTCCAAATGATGCGCCACTTTGTTGAGCTATCGCTTGTGGGCAGGTCGCTTTTGAAAAATAAGTTCATACCTCGGTGGGCTTTGTCTGGTAGGATGGGGATGGTTCAGTGTTGTATTTGTTTGTGTTTGTGCGATTTGTTTACCTTTCTTCTACTCTGTACTCCTATCGTGTTTTTGTACTGTTTGTTGTTGTAACGTTCTTACCCCGTGCCCCGACTGGACATCTGTGAAAAATAGCTTTACATCTCATCAGATTCCTCCTGCAGTATAAATAAATATTCTCACTCTGATTCTGGTCCTGGTCCTGGGCCCCCCTCTCCCGTTCCTTATCAACCCCTACGCTGACCAACGTGGTGAAGTATAGTCAAACAACTCTCAAGATCGACACGACTTGCATCCCACTGGGATTTATGCACACAGTGTTGGTGTACGGTGCTTTTTCTGCAATATTTTGGATTTTCTGTTTGCACATAGTCACTTTAAGATGTTTTCTTGTTCATGTTTTTGTTTTTTTTGTTTGTTGCGGTTGCAGCCGATTCAAGAGTCGAATGGCTCACAGGGCTATAGCTAATAAATGAAACTTGAACGACGTCTGACAAGGCTTTCATCCAGCAGGGGATTGACAAAGGGCTGTGTAATTATTAATGATTAGGTTACTTATTAGACTTGCTTGCCTAGTTTGTGTGTTTTTTTTTTACTTTTATTCTCTCTCTTTCAGTGAAGCAAAGTGAATGGCCAAAACGGCAGCCAAAAGAGAGAGATACTGTGCCGGCAATCGCGGTAATCGATGCACACTCGCGTCATTACTGACATATCTGGGTTACTTAAGCATTTATTGCTTCTTCAGAATGACCACTTAGTCGAATCCAGCAAAGAAAGCTTCAACAGCAGATAAACCGTTTGGCGAGTTCTCACCGTGACTCACTCGTTCAAATGGGCAGCCCTCTGTGATATTTCTTTGCAGCGGTGGCCATTAATGGCGTTCTAAAGTAATTTCGGCAAAAGCAGATCGGCGCGGCATTCGTGCACTTAGACGTATCGGCGGCGATAAAGCGCGGCGCGCGCAGCCTCATCATCCTCGTGTTACGTACCGTAACCACGTTACTGACGTCGGAGCACTGCGACGGCGCGGACACGCAGCTGTGCTCGCCGGCGCACCAGTGGCAGGCCCATCTTCTGTCCGTGCAGCTGGTGCAACTGCTCGCGTTGGCAAAGCAACAAAAAAAGGAAAAGACGCATCGACGCAAACGGTTGGGCGCGACGCGGTCCAGGCCGGGTCACGCGGTGAGGCGGCAACGCAAGCCGAGCGGTTGGCGTCGCTAGTTCGCCGGCATTGTTGCACGGATTCGCGTTTGGATACCGGGCGACCGCCCTGGTTAATACTGCGGGCGTGTTGGCCGTGAATGCGCGCCGTCCATAGGCGGAGTTTGGCTTCTATCTTTGGGGGGGCGGGCGGGCAGGGGTTCGCTTTGTCCTTGACATCCCGGGTGAATATAACTACATTTTATTTTATCTGAATTGTAAACTACTGAAAATAATTGTATAAAGGTGCCCATTTTGGTCGGAGTGTTGCCCCACGCCCCCGTGCAAACTCCGTCCACGGCACCGTCCCTGCGAGTTGTGGACGTCACGGATCCCGTGACGTTGTTTGACGTTGTGTGAACAAGCGTAGGCCATGCGCGCTGGCGTCACGCTCAAAATAAATGTACCAGCAAGTCAACAACTTGACTAATTACTTCATTTGGTTACCCCCCCCACCCCCCAACTGGCAGTCTATACCCCACTTCTGTGAAACATAGCGCCTTTGTGGTAACCGTATGCTATGAGAATGGTGTGATTGCCAAATGTACGAATAATTCTCGTTGTTGTTGTTATTAGTAGCATATGGTCACTTGACACATCACCCCACTTGTGGCAGGCCAAGTGGTGGCTGAGACACAAAGAAGCTGTTGCCTCTACGACTGCTGCCTCTTTCCAATCTCCGTGGCTCACGCTGGCAGCAGATGACATACAAAAAACATCAGTTGGAAGCAGCGTTCAAAGTGGTTTGAAAAGTGGCAGTACGCCTTAAAAATCATCATCGTCATCATCTCATTCATGTTATATCCACTTCTGATCGAAGGTCTGCACCGATACCGCATGATCCTGCAATGTAACAATCCGCCTAGCACAGTCGGTACAGGCTGATTTCATCACTCCAACTCTTCAATGGACATCTTCCCAGATGCGTTCCATTCGTAAGCTGCGACTCCCATCATTCATTTTCACCACCGACAGCCATCAACCCTTCTAACAGTGCATTACATACTGCATAGCGGTATGAGTGACGTTTACGTACTTTGCATACTACATAAAATTATTCTCACGCGTTCAAATCATATATTGGCCGCCTTACAAAAAGTTTTTTTTTTTTTTTCCAGGCAAAAGAGGAGCAGGTACGATGTTTCACAGCCGTATAACACATAGACTGGCACGGCCCACGCATTTTCATGGGATACACGGCCCGGGTGCAAGGTGGGTAGGGGGGGGGGTGATGATAAGCGCAACACCCTGTGAGGTGCGGGTGACGTCACTACAGGTTCACTCTCACTTGCGTGCCAACCAGCGAGCCAGTCAAAATGTTTTTTTTTTAATATATATAGGTGTGATTTTCCCCAAATAGATGTTTTATTTATTTTGCGGGCATAACCGTTAATTTGTTTGTCCGCATGCATTACCGGCATGCGTTGCCCCACTCTAACAACGAGGTTGCAAGCTGCAACGTGCACACAATTCACGAGGTTGCACGTGTCACCATATAGCTGGGCTGTAGCGTAAGTGACGGTGAATTGAAAAACACGTTTTTTTTAAGAGAAAAAAAAAGGACAACGCTTGCGAAAAAAAGGGGCAGATACCTATCAAGTAATAACAACCTCGACTGAAAAGAAAAGCAACTCGTTAAACAAGAAGATGAACTTACGGAATGTTCACATGTATCGCTCCGATGTTTGAGCACTTGTAGAATGTCACGTTGCCTGACAGTATTCGGGTTTGGTTGTGCACCATGAAGACTGTCACCGTCCAGGAACCTGCGGTTGAGCGGGAAGCCACACGTTTCAGCGTTTCAGTTTGGCTACTCACAAGCAAACTGCTTTGTGCCCGCTTGAGGAAATCCAGAATTGCGCTGGAATGTAGTCATCTAATGATCGACCAAAGGCTGGTGAATTAATATTTTTTGTCTCGTTTTCTATGACTCATTTCTTCTATATTGTTTGTTCTGTTTCGAGTCTTCTTAAGATGTTAACTCCCTCGCTGGGGAGGTCGTGGGTTCGATCCAGATCCTGACACTTGCTGTATATCATTGGAGTTTGAATGTCTCTCCCCGTGGTCGCATGCATTTTTCTCCAGGGTTCTGCAGTTTTTCCCTCCACATTTAGAAACATGCTCTTTTAGTTTAACACATAGTAGGCTTTCGCGACCAATATCATCCATAATAGAGGTTTTTGGGTTAGATCGCGTAAATATATAAATGTGTCGTTAAAATCCACCACCGGTGTGCTGTACTTGTGACAAATTGGCACGTTCTGTTTAAAGTGACAACCCTTACTAGTTGGCTGTGTCGGGTGGTGGCAGGGTTTAACGACACATTTATATATTTACGCGATCTAACCCAAAAACCTCTATTATGGATGCTCTTTGAGTATTTGGCTGCTATACATGTCCACGAATAAACTACTTTGTTGAGCTATCATTTGTTGCCAGGTCGCTTCTGAAAAATAGCTTTTTAGCTCAGTGGACCTTAACAGGTAAAATACAAATAATTTTCAGTAATATCGTAGTATTTATTCTAAGCGTGATTGAATGCATGCACAATGCGCTTCAGATTTGGCCTTAACCAATGAATTGTCACGTGACTTCTAAAGAGTGACGGTATATAACATCATCTCTCGTACTGTATCTATCCACTGCTGGATGAAGGCCTCCCCACACTTTTCAGTCATGGAGGTTGTGTTACCATACTGCATCACAGGGCTGGTCAGGCACAGGCTGGGGGAGGGTATGCATCTCTACATGCTTCTACGCCATGGTAGGGCACTAAGGCTTATACAAATACAGCGAGACTCTGCTTGCCCAAGCGTAAACGCACTCACACACTAACCCACAGGAGATGAGGCTCACAATCGACACTGTACGAATCCCAATTGCATTATCGTATTTCATTCCGCGGAGTGTCTAATGCTCGTGACCTTATTGATGTCAAGTTCAAGCAATTTGCATCGCGGCGTGCATCAAAAGCAAAAGGGATACTGAATATCATATTTATATTGACAGTGATCGAAGGTCAAGGCCTTGTACAGTTAGCATTGTACATTTATCCCGGAGGAGCAAACGCGAACGGGAGCATCTGCGTCGTGGCACCTGCCCGATGGCAAATTCCCGCGAACCGTGAGTGAACAACGTGACACCAGATTAATCATGGTGCATTGGGACCCACTGAGTGGAGAGGCTCGTGTGCCGGGCTATGGAGGGGGGTGGGGGGGAGGGGCAAGCGCTGGTGGTTGATTGGTGGCCCTGGCAGTGTCGGATTTAGGGGTAGGCAACGTGGAGACGCTCCGAGCTTCCTGGGAGGTGCAGCAATGTCAGGTCCTGAAGTCGGGTGGCTGTGATTGGTGGATGCGTGCACGTGAACCGCTCGCGCGACACCACCGAGTGCGCCTCGGTCTACATCGTAGGAGGCTGGGGTTGCCACTAATCCTGGTTGTAATCACCAAATAAAACATCGGCACTCACATTGTAAATGTTGTGGGTTTACTCTCCACCACACGGGAAGTAACTGGCAAGTTTTGTTCACTTGACAAACCTTACTTATTGGCATGTATGGGGTGTTGGCGGGTTTAACGACGTATTTATATTTATGCAATCTAACAAAAAAATAACTTTATTCTTGCGCCAGGGCCCAAGACTGCTCACGGCACGCGCCTGCTCATGCCACGCGACTGCTCACGCCACGCGCCTGCTGGGCACACCTTCGTTTGAGGAGAGCTGAGAGAGGTTGGAGGGTGGTGGGAGGCTGCAGGCCAACGTGGAGTTTACGTAGCTGAGCTTGGTTTTGGTCGCCTCATACTCACACCACAAGTCCAAGTCTTTGAGCTCAGGGACAAGGCCTGACACCTGAACCTTGACCTCCTGCAATCGCGCCAAGCATATCACGTACAGGCACACGTCGGTGTACAGAGGAGCACACAGAGAAAATCTCGCGCACACTCAAAGGTACGGAGAAACTCGCTCACCTCCGAACAGCACGGTTGACTATGTACAGTGCGAAATCAGTTCAACATACATACATACATAGAGAAAGATACACATACAGAGAAAAGCATGTATACATATAAAGATAAACTTATGCACACACACAGAAACTCACCCAAGTATGTGCAGACAGAGAAACTTACACAAACGTACAGAGAAACCGACACACGCACGTCTAAACTCCCCCACATGAAATTCATTCAGAGAATCTGACACACACAAAGACACCCACACAGATACTCACATATACACACGTAGAGAAAAAAAACCACTCACAAAGTCTCACACATACAGAAATATAAAGGTTTGCATTTAATGGGCACTCACATGCCACAGCATCCCAAAGTGCCTTACATCTTATCACGATCATTACAATGCCAAACTGAAGTTTTTAAATTTGAGTGCGACGTTTCGCTGGTAATTACATCCAGCATCATTCAGCAATAGCCCGATGATGCTGGATGTAATTACCAGCCAATCGTCGCTGTCAGCAAATCAAGTGCAAGACATAGCAGTAACCAACAAAGAAATACCATCAAGAACTTTCGTTTGATTTTTACAGAACTTCTTCTTAAACTATATATATATTTTCACCTACGTGACTTTACCGAAAGAACCAAAGAGTATGGGTCCTTACAGTCACGAAAACTTCAAATCTGGAATAAACTATAGGCGTCCGCTTCAACACACAATCACTAGTTTAAGAACAATCACGTGGAACTGACCTGCGGTCTCTCATCCGCGTTGATGTACGTGGTGGTAAACTCCAGAGTAGGACACAGAGTCATCCCAGAGCCAATGTCCACCCAGTGTGAGGCCATGCTGGAGTTAGGGCACCTATTTTGCAACGTGCATCTGTTCGCGCGCACGCACAGCCACACACACACTGTCATGCATGCAGTGCAGCACGGTGGCCAGATGTTTACTACCTCGCCTGGTATGCAGGAGGTCGTGGGTTCGACCCCGACCATTATCTTATCTTAAAGGAATGTATATATCCCTGACCACGAGTCCATTAAAGGAATGTATATATCCCTGACCACGAGTCCATTCATCCCACAGTGACTTGCGCACAAACAGCATAACAAAGAGCGGCTTAATCGTATCTAATTCATTTACCCACCCAGCAGTGTAACAAAAGCAGTAATTGACCACTTCACAACTCCTCCTCCCCCGCCGCCCTTCCTGGCTCCTCCCCCCTTAACCACGATATAAGGTACAGATAGTTTGCTGTGACGGTTTCACCTGAAGACGGAAGCTTGTGTTGCCTCCGAAACGTCGTGATTTTATTGTTTTAATTTTATTAATTTTAATTTCATTTTTTACCTACGTGACTTTACCGAAAGAACTAAGAGAATTTATATAGCGCCTTAACCAAGGCGCTTTACAGATGATTAAGAACGGTGCTTATGAATGTAATGGTGGAGATGAGGTGAATAACATAGATGAGAGGAAGCAATGGGGCAAAACTGTTTATGCGTGAATTTGTTGAAAGTGGAATTGGTGACAGTAAATGATGATGAATGGGGAATGAGTGATAGCCATTTAATGAGAATGTGAAGAGGGAACGTTAGCGGTGGTGGTTATGAAGGGGAAATTAATGGGTTGCGGGGTGAGGTCGGGATAACAAGTGAGTTTTGAGTGAGGAGTGGAAACTAGTCAGCGAGGGTGACCGTTTAGAATATTTGACCCTGACGCCTGCTATATATTTGGAGTTTGCATGCTCTCACGGTGGTGGCGTGGGTTTTTGTCTGGGTCCTCCGGTTTGCCCTCCGACATTTAGAAACGTGCGTTTTGAGTGTTTGGCTGCTATACATTTGCACGCGAAAAGCCACTCTGTTGAGCTATCATTTGTGGCCAGGTCGCTTCTGAAAAAGAGCTATGTAGCTCAGTGGGCCTTAGCTGGAAAAATAAATATATAGTTTATTTAGTTACCCTCCCATCATCCAGATGGAGATTTAAACGAGCCACACATGTTTAACAAGCCTGATTGCTTTCAAACCTGGCCCCGAGTTTGCTTGCTTTAAACGAATGCTGCTTGGTAAGATTTGTCTTGGAAAGCTGGTCGGATGATGGACTTAAGAGATATTTTTTAAATTGTAGAGGCAGAACGGAATTTAGATTATATTTGCTGTTTCCCATATCCGCCCCCCAGAAAAGCGTAACGAGACTGGATGCATACACGTAACATGTCCACTGTTGTTGCACTTCTCAAACAAAGTAATTGGGCAAAACATTCCAAAGCAGCCGACCTCCTGAAAATATCTTGGAGGCTTTCTTGGATAAATAAATAACATTTATAATTAGTGACTTCAAAACAATCCTTTGCAGCTGTAGTTTTGCTGTTTAAGTACACAGCAACGGTGAAAGGGAAATGTTCCTGGGGAGTTTGAGATGCAACAGCTGTGCACTTCTGGCTACGGAGGATTCATGGGGGTCATCACTTCTAGATTTGAAGCTTTCGTGACTGCAAGAATTCATACTCTTCGGTTTTTTCGGTAAAGTCACGTAGGTAAAAAATAAAATTAAAAGTTAATAAAAGTAATAATGGAAATAAAATAAAATAATAAATCACGACGTTTCGGAGGCAACACAAGTCTCCGTCATCAGGTGGGACCGTCACAGCTAAAATTACTGCATCAAGTGAGGCAAAATTCCAAAAGACCAAGCCTTAAATACAAGTTAAGGGGGGAGGGGCTTATCTGAATGTGTTAACCAGGGAATGGAACGTGGGGGTGGTGGGCGGGGCTACGTCTAGGACTAATTCTAGGACTACCTTTCACTCGTTGGTTGTCTGGAACGCTGGCTGCTCCGCTGGCGTGGAGTAGGGATTATGTCAGCATAAAGCACTACTACCAGTGGCTTACGGAGCACAGCTATTCACAGCAATGCTGTAGTGCTGTTACCCTGTGACCTTGATTGGAGGTCTTCCAATCAAGAGGTTTTGGTATCGAACGAGAGAATCAAGAGGACGGAAAACGAAACGAACGAGGCGGTCTTTCGGCAGGTTCGGAAATAAATTATGAGGCCCGATGGCAACCTTGCCAAGAAGGCAACGTGACTGGCATGTTTTGTCAGAGGGGAGAGCTTGCTGCGGGATGCTCTGGTGGGTAGGGTGATTGGAAAACAAAATGTCTGGAGGTCGAAAGAGGAAGGCACTGTTTGAAAGATTGCAAAGTGGGGAGGTGTCCTGGGAAATTCAACGGGAAGCACAAGATCTGACTGGTTGGAGGAAGAGTGGGTCACTTCGGAGAAAAACTCAAGAAGGATGTTCCTGTACTCCGATATGCACACACCACCGCACGCATCACCACAGTTATCACGGGGACAAGGCAAGGCGGATGTCACGTCCCTGATTAGCGCGATTGGCTATGCACGGCGCAAAATAATAAATACATACTCCAAAAAGATTTCCAGAAACGTCGTTCCGGACTGCTGCGGCTGAAACAAAGGTCGCAAACTGGTTTTGATTCCTTACCCGTACCCGTACCCGGCCGCACCAGGGTCGCAAATGGGTACCCGTACCCGTAACCGGCCGGGTACAGGTACCTGTTCCCTACCCGTACCCGTACCCTACCCGAAATGAGTGACAAACGGTTACTCACCAGTGACTCACGGCCTACCTGTACCCGTACCCGGCCGCACCAGGGTCGCATACGGCTACCCGTACCCGGCCGGGTACGGGTAGCCGGGTATCGGGTAGGGTACGGGTATCGGGTACCTGGTGGCGACCTCTGGGCTGAAACGAAAAACCGCGCCGCGCAGGAGACGGGAGAGGGTGCCGGCTCACCTGCCCAGCAGCGTGCACCAGCCGCAGTACGGGTCCCCGGCGTGCAGGCAGCTTGCGCACGAAGTGTGGTGGGCACAGCGCGTCACCTTCACTCGCCCGATCTGCGGCGGGTAAGTGCAGGAAACGAGATCATTTGCGGCGCTGTCAGGCACCAGGGGACACGCAGTCACCGTTCCGAAGTTGGCACAGTCCGACTAACGGTGGGATTTGTATGTGCGTCTGTGTTTAGGTCGACTGAGCCTCAAATGAGTTCCTGGTGCAGTATGTAAACATGACAACTAGGGAGACAAAGGCGGTCGGGGAGTGGTGCTAGCTACCCACCCCATCGTGCGCCGTTCCAGCCTTCACAGTTGCTCACTAACAGCACTTTCTCAGCAGTTTGTTAAAAGGCTATAAGGGGGATCGTTGTCTTTCTATGTGCTGGGGAGCGAAAGCGCAGTGAGTAAGCACACTGCACCACACAACCCGGTTTCCCAAGTTCGATTCCCGTACATGGCAAACATCAGTGACAAACATATGCACCAGTCCTCAATCGTAAATGAGTACCTGGTGCCGTGTGTAAACATCAGCACTGGGGAGACAAAGGTGGCTGGAAGTAGTGCTAGCCACATCACCCCCTCGTGCATCGTGCTTGGAAACAGCACTGCCCCAATATCCAATGTAGGCGATAAGGTGAAAGTTGTCTTTGAATTTGGTTGTGTTAATGTGTGTGTGTGCTGATTGTGTGTATGTGTGTGCTGACTAAATGTTGGTGTGTGTTGTGTGTTCATTGTGAATGCGTGTGTGCTGATTGTGTGTATGTGTGCGCTGACTCTGGGAATGTGTGTGTTGTGTGTTCATTGTGAATGTGTGTGTGTGCTAATTGTGTGTATGTGTGCGCTGACTCTGTGAATGTGTGTGTTGTGTGTTCATTGTGAATGTGTGTGTGTGCTAATTGTGTGTATGTGTGCGCTGACTCTGTGAATGTGTGTGTTCATTGTGAATGTGTGTGTGTGCTGATTGTGTGTATGTGTGCGCTGACTCTGTGAATGTGTGTGTTATGAGTTCATTGTGAATGTGTGTGTCTGCTGATTGTGTGTATGTGTGCGCTGACTCTGTGAATGTGTGTGTTCATTGTGAATGTGTGTGTGCTGATTGTGTGTATGTGCGCACTGACTCTGTGAAAGTGTGTGTTGTGTGTTCATTGTGAATGTGCGTGTGTGCTGATTGTGTGTTTGTGTGCGCTGACTCTGGGAATGTGTGTGTTGTGTGTTCATTGTGAATGTGTGTGTGTGTGCTAATTGTGTGTATGTGTGCGCTAACTCTGTGAATGTGTGTGTTGTGTGTTCATTGTGAATGTGTGTGTGTGCTAATTGTGTGTATGTGTGCGCTGACTCTGTGAATGTGTGTGTTCATTGTGAATGTGTGTGTGTGCTGATTGTGTGTATGTGTGCGCTGACTCTGTGAATGTGTGTGTTCATTGTGAATGTGTGTGTGTGCTGATTGTGTGTATGTGCGCGCTGACTCTGTGAACGTGTGTGTTGTGAGTTCATTGTGATTGTGTGTGTGCTGATTGTGTGTATGTGCACGCTGACTCTGTGAACGTGTGTGTTGACCGTGCGTGCTAACCAGGGGGAGGAAAATGTTTTTCAACCGTCCCTCGGCCACATCCACAGCCCACACAGCATGCGGGATTTATTATTCGTGAGAACGTCTGTTTGGCGTGTGCAGTCGAGTGCAAGTCCTGCTTCCACGTGCCCGCACACCGCACCACCCTCGCACCTTGCTGGAGGTCATGACGTACAGGAAACTGTTGTCCGCCGGGTCAAAGAGCATGTTGGGGTGAACTGGGTTCCCGTAATCGAGCAGCTCCGTGTCCATCACCTTCACGCCGCTGCCAGCGTCACCTTTGACTGCCTGGCGCACACCAAACGCAGTGCGGCACGCGTGTTCACTCCACTGTTGAATCGAGAGATGTTAACTACCTCGCCTGGTGTACACGAGGTCGTGGGTTCAATCCCGACTTTGACGCCTGTATATTTGTAGTTTGCATGTTCTCCCCGTGGTCATGTGGTTTTTTTTTCTCCGGGTATTCCGGTTTTTCCCTCCAACATTTAGTAACGTGTGTTTAGAGTATTTGGCTGCGATAAATGTCCACGTGATAAGCCACTTCGTTGAGGTATCATTCGGTGGCCAGGTCGCTTCTTGAAAAGAGCGATATAGCTCAGTGGGGCCTTACCTGGTAAAAAAAAAAGTTTTGTTTAATTTAATTGCCCGCGAAGGCAGATCCACGAAGTCAGATCCACGCTTGAAATATGTGCGTACTCGTTATCCTCATCACGAAGTGGCTTTGTATTTGTGCACGATGTGTCAGCCAATTAGAGGCTGTAGTTCTAATAAAAAACACATTGTCCACCTTCCTTGATAGAGGATAAATGTTCGTTAAGTACCGTGGCATTGGATGTACTCAGACGAACTGACATTCATCCGTGCTGGCACGGTGCAGTCAACATTTTTGTTCGCACCATGTATGCCTAAGTGTCAAACTATTAACTAAGCCCCATGTTCTTAAACTACGTACGATTACTTTGAAAACGACCACTTACAACTATTATTAGGATATGGACACTGAGTTTTTTTTTCATTGTGAGGCTGCTTGTATTTTGGATCCGTCCTCGCAACATTCATTGCAAGGCAGGATTTCAAACCTGCGCACCATTACCCTACGTTACCTTACATCTGCAATGCGCTCATACTCATCGAATCAGCATCGATTTCATTGGACTTACGCAGGTGCCTGCCAAAAACCCCCAGAGTTGAACGTGTTGCGGCTCAAAGTGTGAATACCATGAAAATAATTTGCTTATTCACCTGCACATACTCTTTGGTTCTGTCGGTAAAGTAACGTGGTTGGAAATACAATCAATCACGACGTTTTGATCGCAAGAACTTTGCCTGATGACGACCACTTGTGTTGCGATCGAAACGTCGTGATTTAGTTTATTTTCTACCTACGTGACTTTACCGAAAGAACCAAAGAGTATGGATCCCTGCAGTCACGAAAGCTTCAAATCAAGATATTCACCTGCAATGAGATAAACGGCTGTTACACGAGCGGGGGGCGGTGACGCGGCTCAGCGGTGACGTGCTCGCCGCTTGCTGCAGAGGTTCCCGTTTCGAATCACGCAGCTGGTCTATGGTTAAGCCGCCATGGTGGCGAGATGTTAACTACCTCGCTTGGTAAACAGGTAGGGGGTTCGATTCCAACCCTGACGCCTGCGGTGTAGAACTTTTGGATGACCTTGTCCTATCGGCAAAACAAATTAACCGCCGGAATATCAGTTTTGGCGGGCACAAATTAGAAAAGGCTAATGAAAAAAATCTGGTTGTGGGCATAGACTCGATTATATTTGTGTGAACGTAATCTTAATATCCCCTCCAGAAAATAATTAGCATTTTCATGAGGCACTCGCTCAGCTCCAATGTGCTAAGTGCAGGGGGTGTGAATAGGCAGCAAATAGTAATTGGAGAAGCACAGATGAGATATATTCTCATCACAGTAGAATTTGGTTATGTATTTTTTTTATTTATCTCTTTAATAATTAAACATCGCAGCTGTTTAGACGAATGCAATTACACCGCTGGTAACCCGATTTCTTTCCGATCGTGCAAACCAGCACTGATCGCAACGCATTAACAAGGGAGCATCTGGGGGCCGAGTGTGCATGTGCCGTGCCGGCCTTCACAGGTGCTCGCTAGCAACACGTGTCTCAACGGTCTGTCCAGATTTTACGGGGGGACCTTTGTCTTTGCGTGTTGCGAGGGCGGAAGTGCAGAGATTAGCGCCCCAGATGGCTGTGATCCCGTTGGAGTTCGATTCCCGGCCACGGCTAACATCGGCGATAATCATCTGTACCGGTCCTGGGCCTCCTCTGGTTCGACTCTAAAATTAGTACCCGTTGTGGAATGTAAACAGCAGCACTGGGGAGACAAAGGCGGCTGGGTGCGGCGCTGGCTGTACCACCACCCCTCCTGCTCCATACCTGCCTTCAAAGATGTTCTGTACAGGGCAGCTTGGTGGTTGTGGGGGTGTGCGTGTGGGTCATGCGTTCAGTGCGTGGGCCGAGGTCGGTTGCCCTCATGGCACCACCGCTGTGATTGCGCTCACACAGAACCAAACGTTTGGCTACCGCAGCTTTCCGTCTTTCGCCCCCCCCCCCCCCCCCCCCCCCCCAAAACTGTGTTCCAACCATGCTCGGGCGTCGTGACGCGAGACGAAAAATCAAACTCAAAACGGTCTGCACAAAGAGATGTCACGGGACTACTTCCGAAAATCTCTTCAAGTTGCTACTCATCCTTGCATGTGAGTTGGGGAAGCAGGGCGGCGCAGTGCTAACGCTTGCGCTCCACAGCAAGCGGCATCTGGGTTTGATTCCTCACTAGGGTGTATTACTGCGGAGTTTATTTATTCTCCCCTTGTTATAATTGATTTCCGCCGGATTCTCCCGGTTTCTTCCCACGACTAAAAACAACACACGCAATGTCAATCTTGCTAAAAATTGAGAAAAACTCTCGAAAATTTTACCCACAATCATTCACACAGCGATCGCCGGCCACTACTGGCAGACTAACGGCCTTCGCTGCGTCAGGTTTCGTTACGCAACAGATCAAGTGAAATGTAAATGCAAGCTTCATTCAATCATGATTGACAATGGGCGGCAGCATATTCCTACCCGCCTCGCTATGGTCGCGAGATGTTAACTATCTCGCCCAGGATACAGGAGATTGTGGGTTCCATCCCGAACCTGACGACGTCTGTTGTATATTTGGAGTTTGCGGTGTTCTCTCTCCCATTGGCCGCGTGGATTTTTCTCCGGGTCCTCCGGTCCTTCCCTCCACATTTAGAAACGACGTGCGTTTAGAGTATTTGGCTGCTATAAATTTCCACGTGATGATAAGCCACTTCGTTGAGCTATCATTTGTGACCAGGGCACTACCAAAGAAGAGCTACATAGATGAGTGAGCTTTAACTGGTAAAATACAAAAATATATATCAATAATATATTTCCAATATAAATATATGCCGCATTACCTGTGCACAACAAGCCATGCTTATAAAGATATTCCGTTCATAACGATTGTAGCTGCTGAAGCGTATTCTCTTCTGTTTTATGGTATGCATGGTGAACTTCTTTCGCACCATACACAGCCAACCTTCTAATCTGAGGTGTGGGATTCATGCATCCATACAGCGATCGCGTTACGTTAGCCATGCGGTGTAACAACGATGGCAACATGCTGCCAAACACCTAATCACCACGCCCAGAGAATGCCATGCAGAAGTGCGTTTTCCGCTGGTTGCAGAGGTCCAAGGCGGTCACGGTTCCATATACACTCGCCGTGAAAACAGGCCGCCGTCTGATTCGCGGCAGACGTTAAACATTACACGGCATTATTCAAGAAGAGCGCATCACGGTCCAATTTGCCAAATTTATCGATTGCTCGTAAGTTGCTTAATTGGGAAGCCACGTGGCAAAACCACCCTACGTCTACTGGCAGCGCAATGTCCACTTGCTTGCCAGCGCTAAGTTCACCCCGTGCCATGCAGGGACAGCCGCCACTGGGTGTCTGTGCCCTGCTGCGGGGTGGCTAGAGACGTACCGCGTGGGAGGCACGGTGTAAATATAACGCAGGTGATGATGATGACGACGACGACGGCGACGACGGCGATGACGCACCTTTATGAGATGACCCGTGGAGTTGCCCAGGAAGAGCACGGTGAAGCCGTGCAGCCTGATCGCCGCTACGGCCGTGAGGTTGGGCTGCGTGAAGACGAGACGGCCGCTCACAGGTGCCAGCACCACCAGCAGGTTTTCCATGTGAGTCCCACCACAGTTGGCTTGCTCGGGGGTCAGCTGACAAAAGACACAGACAAAGATCCCCCCCCCCCCCCCGTATATTCTTAACAGTCTTTCGGGGCAAGTGCTGTTAGCAAGCACCTATGAAGGCCGAAACGGGCCAGCGCCACGCCCGGCCGCCTTTGTCTCCCTAGTTGGCCATGTTTACACATTGCACCGGGTACTCAGTCGACCTCGGGGAGGCCCAGGAGAGGTTCAAATAATCGTCACCGGTGTTGGACGTGAGCGGGAATCAAACTCGGGTCGCCGGGTTCGTAGTGCAGTGCGCTAACTGCTGCACTACCGCTCCCCACACACAGACACACCGGGATGAACAAATAACATGTGAACCACAGGTAAATTCAAAGCGACAGCATCACATGCAGGTGCAGTAAATAATTAATGCGCTCACCATCATCTCATATTCCGTGTTTGTATAACCTTGATCAAATTGACTGCTACATAAGAACACGTTAACAGTGATGTTTTTTGCTGCCCCCCTGGCGTTTTGGGTCTCTGAAGAACTTGCATGTTGGAATCACTGCCTCACTTGATACAGCAAATCTGGCTGTGACGGTCCCACCTGATGACGGAGACTTGTGTTGCCTCCGAAACGTCGTGATTTTTTTTTGTATAAATTTTAATTTCATTTTTTACCTACGTGACTTTACCGAAAAACCTAAGAGTATGAATCCTTGCAGTCACGAAAGCTTCAAATCTAGAATTGATACACTAAACCGCTGAACGTAGTGCAGTGTGCTTCCTTGTTTTATTCTAATGTAAAGATATCTAATGAACTGACATTTATGGGTTGATTTACTTCCACTGTACATATATGTTGTAGATTTAAACATGCATCCTCGAAAAGGCTCACTGGAATGCAGATTTGTTAAATATAGATGACCCCAGGAATCGTACACACATTCGCTCCAGAAAACGAATCCCTTTGTTGAAACTCGAAGTCATTCTTCATTTTTCACTCATTGGGAGTGCCGCTTCCTCTCGTGTGTGGGCCCCCAAAGTTTGGAATTCCCTTCCTCTGACCAAAGTGCACTTCTATGCCGAAGGCACAAGGTCGTCTTCCTCTTGTCTCTTCTCTAGGATTGACGTTTGTCTTATCAGTTCCGTCTCTGGCCTGCATATCTCTTAATCTCGTTTGTAGTTTAGATTCGTATTTATTATATAAATGTTTTACTAATATATATTGTGTGTTTGAACGTCTTTATGTAATAAGGTAAATCGCAACACTTTTCAAAAGCCGTTGATGCCAGCGAATAGATATTCTCTCATTCTTGAACAGCAAAAAGTTTACCAACCGTGTATCGGCGTTTCAGCAGCGTGCACGGCAGTGTTGCGAAGTGCACGCACTAGCTAGTTTAGTGTTACGAACATGGACAACTGGAGCAATCGAGGTATTCTGTGAAAGCCTTGAAGTCAACCCGCACTCACTGAGAGAGGTCGATCCATCTCTGCTGCTGCTCCCAATGTCTGGAAGCCCCTCCCGTAGGTGTGTGCCGCTCACCTCCTCAATCTCGTTCTAGTCTAGGCCCAACACATCGTTGTCCTCTAGCTGCGACTGAACGTGTCATTTATATAACACATCTTTGGTCGCACGTTCTGTGCAGTGTACATCCATCCCCATCGCCTTCACCAACAACAAAAAATCTGGCATCTTCTCGTGTGCCTGATCATAATTTCAACGCGTGTAAAGCACACGGTAGTCACTCGCTCTCAAGGAGCGAGAACGACTCAGAGGCGCGAGGAATCACGGACAAGCAGGAAAGGCAGCCAGGCAGTGATCTGGTGCCAAATTTCCCCTAAACCTCTGCGATCCGCTCAATATCTGAAGGTATTTTCGGTCAATTAATGAGTGTTTACTTGTGGGATGAAACCGAAGCACCTTAAAAAAACAACACGTGTGCGAGGGGGCAACACTCGATCCCATACAGACGGAACGGGCTGAAGACCACATTTGCTGTATCGCCTTCTGCTGACGAGCCACGGTATGGCACCTCACCGCCCCACGGGAAGGAAGTCTCACAGTGCCGGATTAGAGGACGCGTGCATAGCCACCACCCTTGTACAACGACTTAGGATATGGTCACAGTCACACGTTACGTATAAATTAAACACCCTTCCTGTATTGCAGACATGGCCAATACACCGCTGGATGAACGCCTCCTCACGCCGCTGCAATCTCCCACGATCCAGTGATCTAGCAAACCTACCTAGCACCTGCACACGAGCTGATTTCATCACTCCGTTTCCATGGTGGACGTACTCCCTCGGACGCCTTCCTTCGTAAAATGTTTTATTAAATAGTTAAATTAAACTTGTCATCTCAATTGCTCCACAGAGGTCCCGCTGAGTGTAAACACTGTTTAATTTGAATGTTTGGACAATTCCACCACAGTGCATGTGCACGTTGAACTTCCTTTGCACACATATGATGGGATAACACTCAAAGCTGGACACAAATTTATTCAAATAATCAACTTGCTGTATCACCATCCCCTGGCGACCTCGATCAAGAAGTCCACAGCAACTCCGATTAGCACGGTTGGCTACGTACGGTGCGAAAGAAGACAACGTACATACACACGCCGTGGCTACAGCTGATAACACAGGTCAACACACTTTTTCTGGCATAAGGTATTCCAGCGGTCTGGCATCAGTTTTTGTCTATCACATCAGGTTTTTGAGATATCAAATATGGCATTTAAAAAAAACTGCAGAAGAAAAATATTAAATAAATGTGGATATCTACATAAAATGATATTATAAACACACTATCCTAAAAATACAGCACCCTATATTAACACTAAAGTAGTCACTGACTCGCAACAACTTGATATCATAAGTGACAGTTGATTTCGGGTAAAATCAATAAAAATGGGGTATGCCGATAGCATAAAAATTTTAGATGTGATAGAGCAAATCTGAGATCAGATTTGGAATCAGCACCCTGAAATTAGTCTAAAACAGCTGCAAAAGTCCAGGCCACAATTTTTGTTGTTGTTGACCAGTGTAATGACCACACTGCACCTCGCCAATGCTTTCTTACACCTCCTCCAGATCGCCACAACTGCTGCACGGCACACACGCATTCCAAATATCTGCCGTAGCAGTCTCCATAAACAATCTGGTATTCAGTCTATTCCTTTGATCGCCAGACCCAGAGCTGCCCTCCTACGTCCTGCACACGTGTTCTACGCAGCATCAGCGTTCTTTACTTATTCATTCATTTACCACATCTACAACGCTGAACACTGGGGGCACTTTCACGAATCTCTATGCACCGACTCGAATACGCTGCGTTACTCAAGGAACCCTTTCCTCGCCTCCAAAACGCTGAAAACACAGGCGTGGCCAACAGACAGCGTGCCCGCAGACTTCCACGCCCTCTGCAAAAGTGGCAACAGCAGCAGCAAACAACTTTCCCAATGGGTGAAAACAAAATATAAATAGGCTCTTATCATTTTTGGCAATCAAACAGCTGTTAAGATGTTCAAACACCAAATAGGTACCTATTGCAAGGCACCCAAGTCTGCATTGACCACACATATTTGTGGCAAAAACGTGTTCTTTTTTCAGCATTTTGAAACCTGCAAAAAAAAGGTCACGTAGATATCAACTTTTCTAGTTGATCCACTCAACATAAGCGACACTTTCAATGCCCTTTCAAAAGTGGCAGCGGCAGCGATCAACTTTCCAAATGGGCGCAGCGGTGGCCAGATGTTAACTCCCTCGCCTTGTATACAGGAGGTCGTGGGTTCGATCCCAACCCAGACGCCTGCTGTCAATTTGGAGTTTGCGTGTCTCTCTCACTGTGGTCGCGTGGATTTGTCTCGGGGTTCCTACGGTTTTTCTCGCCACATTTATCGAAACACGCGTTTCCAGCCTTTGGCTGCTATACAATTTCGGCGCGATAAGCCATCTCGCTGAGCTATCACTTGTGGCCGGGTCGCTTCTGAAAAGAAACGAGAAAGAGAAGCTTTCCCACCTGATGACGGACGCTTGTGTTGCGCCCGAAACGTCGTGATTTATTTCGTTTCATTTTCTACCTACGTGACTTTACCGAAAGAACCAAAGAGTTTGGATTCCTGCAGTCACGAAAACTTCAAATCAAGGGAGAAGCTGTCCAGCCCAATGGGTACAATAATTTTGAAGGGGGTGGTCTGGGAGGAGGTTGGTGAAAACAGATGAACTTTTACCGTCAGCGTGGAGGTCGTTCCGGCCTTTTTGCACGTCTCCGACTTGTCCATCTTGAAATCCAGGGCGGTCATGACGGGCAAGTGACGGGTGAAACAGTCCTTGCGAGCATTGGCGATCCGGGTGTCGATGTCGCCCAGGGGGAACTCGCACACGATGGTGCTGCCGTTCTTGAAGCTCTTGAAGAGGACGTAGAGGAGGTCGCGGCTCACGAAGGCCGACTGGATGTTGTCGTACTTCTCGCCGCAGTCGATGCTTAGCTGCACGTACGATTCGTGAATGCGCGTGTTGCTGAGACAGATGCGAACGATGGATGTCTTGTAGTTGTTCTCCTTGGCGTCGCCCGTGTTGTTGTTGACCAGGATGTACACGTAGTTGTCCACCGCGAACATGTCGACGAACTGCAGCTTGCTCCTCACCTTGTTCTCGCCGCTGATCTTGAAGATGCTCTCCTCCGAGTCGTACTCGTAGCTGAAGAGCCTCTCCTTCTCGCTCACGTTCATGCTCCTGAAGGCGATCTCGGGCGTGTTCTCGTAGCGGTAGTCCGGCGGACTGCCCGACGGCTTCCAGTAGTCCGACCCTTGCCCCGTGAACGTTGCCCCGACCATGATGCCGTACTTGCTGCCGTCGATCCTCACCAGTACGCCCACGGTGGGCGCGTCGGCGTGGTTTGAGGCCATGTACAGGTTCTTGGTGTTGAGCTTTTCCGTACTCACGACGACGTCGACGATGCTGCCCAGGCGCCTCACCTCGCACGCGCCCTGGTGGACGCTGCCACAGCTCAGCAAGATCTGCTGCTCCGAGTCCACCACCAGCAGCTTGTTGAAGTTGTCCGTGCTGGTGCGCTCGTGCACGCACGTGGGGGACACGGTGGGCGCGTGGCACAGCATGCTGTCGTTGACCGGCCCGGTGGAGACGCTGTCCTCTCGACGCAGCGTGTCGCTCAGCTGGTAGATGTTGTTCACAGTCCCCACGTACACCTTGCGAAAGACGCCGTCCACGGCGAAGTTGTTGGTCTTCTCGCCGAACTGGAACTTGCCGTGCACGTGGAAGCCGTGCGCGGACCGCGTGAGCAGTTGCTGGACGATGGCTACGACGACGATGATGGTGGTGGTGGTGATGGAGAAGACGCTGGGCAGGTGAAACGCCCGGACGGTGGCCACCGCCGTTCCTCCTCCCGCTCGCATGTTGAGCCCCCTCGGGGTTTTATTTTTTCTCCCTCCCCACCACCACCTCTCTATCTCTCTTCTTCTTCTTCTGGTCGTCAACTCGCCAAATCGCTCCCGCGCTCAAACGACGGTCATCACTCGATGTGGTTCCACTCCTTTACGAGAACGGCATCAGCCACTGGCGCTACAAAGAGCGAGACGGGAGTGAGGCGGGCGGGCGGGCGGGGGGTAGAGATGTCCTCGGCTCGCGAACGCAAATACAAAACAAAAGTTTGGCGTGAGTTCTCTCTCTCTCTCCGCTTTAACTTACAACTGCGTCCGCTTCCTAACAGCCCATTGTCCCGTGTGCACGTTTCCTCTGGCGTGCGCGCGTGTGTGCGTGCGGTGTGCGCGTGTGTGCACGTGTGCGCGTGCACGCGCGTGTGTGTGGGGTGCGCGCGTCTCAGCGTGCGCGCGCAGTGTGACCGATATCGTGACAAGGAAGAGCGGAACTTCCCCGAGCTCATGATCTTCATGAGGCTCTCTCTCTCTCCCTCTCTTTCCTCTCCGCCTGCCCTCCCCTCCCCTCTCTCTCTCTCTCAGCCTCCTCTCTATGCATTTCCACCCCTTGCACGCAGCCAGCCAATTGCACACGCACACTTAGACACGCACGGTCACACACACACACGCGCGTGCGTAACGTAAGGCAGTGATGTGCCATATTGCGATGCGTGTAGCCATCCGCTCTGCCTGCCCTTCTGTTTGTTTACATAGTGGCTACTGACTACTGCATCCTTCCTTGCACGGCTCTCTCTCTTTCTCTCCGTTCTTTCTGGGGGAAAAAAAACCGTACGTTGATTTTTGTTGTTGATGTTGTTGTTGCAAATGTTATATGCCCTCTCAGTGTTGCCCGTATTCGTTCAGCATAATGTGCGTACGTTGAGCGAAGCCGGAATAATCATGGTGCTGCTTGCTGCTGCTGCTTGTGATATGTGATGCGATGATGTTGCTCGCTATGGTGGTTTTATCTCGAGAGAGGCCGGTACTGCGCGTCTTTCTGCGCGCGTGTGTGTGTGTACCCAATGAAGTCGTGTAACACTGCTCGGTGAATTATTTGCAAGGTCGTGAGATATGTCGACTGCTTTGGGTAAGGGCAGGCCTTCATCCAGCAGTGGATTGATCATGGCTGCTGCTGGTGATGATGATGATGTATACGTGTCCTTGTGTTGTTGCCTTGCGTTTGGTTGCTTCTGCTGCCCACTGATGGATTGCGTTGTTTGCGGATTATAAAGGATGACTGTTTAGTTGTCATACAGAAATAGAAGTTACATTTTTGTTAAAACACACACACACAGATCCCTGTGTGTTTGTGTTTTATCTTGCGAATCGCTGTCCATTACACCAGTACGTACAGTATATATATGAAATATACTGTTTTTATGACAGCTTAAATTCTGCGTGTCCTTTGCATTTTCCCTATTTTCTAATGAACACCTTTGCCGCTCTAAGTGACATTAATTGACGATCAGTAATTCGCGTTATAGACTATTATTGATTTTTGATAATTATGGAGTAGCAATTACGCATTTAAATGATACACAGTCGTCTTCATTACAGAGCCACGTGAATCACTAATGACTAACAAACATTTATTTCCCGACGATGTGTTTTTTTATCTCTCTCTGGGAATAGCCCTGTACATGATTAACTCTTGACTAAACCAACGTTATTATTTGTTTACCTTTCCGAAGAAAACATTTGTAACCGGCGTGTACATTTAATCTGTAAAATCCCCTTCTTTAGACCACGTTCCGTTTTAACTCGGAAAAATTAGCATTACGCACAATTACATATATTTATTTGCGATCAGTTACTCAATTAAGTGTTTAATAAAATGTTGTCCACCGTCTTCATTGCAGCACGCACATGGCATTTAGTGTGAATATTCAACTCGTTTAAGCATTGCCGTGTGTATTTGGTATTAAACCAACATGCAACAGCTGCAAATTCCTCGGCAATCTCATATCAGCGTCAACAAAGATCAAACAAAAACAGAGTGCTTCTGCAACCCTGGGCACACTCAGTGCATTTTAATTTCAGGGTGAGCCATTTACAGATACATCTTTGCTTTCTATCGAGCCACCTTTTTTTTACTCAACAGGTGATGATTGCATTACGGTTTTGTGAATGCTGCGTTGGACAAAGTGTATCATCAGGAGAGTTGTTGAAATATTTAAGAAGTGCATTGAGATTGGTGGGGGATGCATAGAGGTCTGAAATTCAAATGTTTTCCCTTTACTGGACTGCAATATTAATCTCCCAATTGGTTTGGTTGGGTGTCTAAAAATGGATCACGTGTTTTTGTAACGGAAGCTGATTAATTATTTACGCTGCCGCGAACGCATCTGCGCGTATCTTGCGGGGGGGGGGGGGGTGTTGCAAAAGTTAATGAATACTTGGCATTTATTTAAACAAGGATGTTTGTCCCCCCCACCTTGCAAAGGCAGCGTGGAGATGGGATGAGTCCTGCGCTTGTATTTCCCATTCATTCTGAGGCTCTTTACCAAAATGCAGTTCCAATCCAGCACATGCGTCTCGGACCAATAAAAATGTGGTCGTTTGACCAGTGCCCAATTTCAGTCCGGAACGCTGTGCCCGAAATTATGTTGTCCTTATTGTATATACCCTATATGTCTGATCATAAGAATATAGGGTACAATAATATGTGATCATTATGGATAGGTGTACCTTGTACTCTGGTGGTAGTGCCTCATGCGGATAATCCCTAATTCTCGAAGCCAGCCCAGCAGCGTTCCGCAAAATGTCGAGTGAGAGATTAAGCCCTGCGCATGACTCAGACTGCATGGCACTTGACGGACGCTATGTAACACATGCAGACGGCATCGTCACGCTATCCAAGCAGGCAATCCATGCAGCTCAATGAAATACAACAGTGGCGGTGATAGCCGAAACAATTAACCGCACTTGCTTGTCAAATCGGACAGTCTCTCACTGCGTTCACTTATTGCCTTCTAGAAGTCTGCAATGCACGGCTGGTTTATTGAGGCCACCGTTTAGGATGAGTGCCACGCACCATTCTAACCACGTAGCATGGTTAGAATGGGCGCTGCTGCAAATAATGAAATGAGGACCCCAGTGAAAATTCCCTCGACTCTTTGTAGACCTGCTTCTGAGCCCGTCGTATCCTGACTGTGGGCCCCGGTGCAATCTCACCGCCTGCACACTCAATAGCTACGACACTGCTTTCAAACGATGCCGTGTAGGGTTTGAACCCATCTTTTCCCCCCGAGAAGATAATGCGATTCTAGATTTGAAGCTTTCGTGACTGCAAGGATTCATACTCTTAGTTTTTTCGGTAAAGTCACGTAGGTAAAAAATTAAATTAAAATTAATAAAAGTAATAATAGAAATAAAATAATAAAAAAAATCACGACGTTTCGGAGGCAACACAAGTCTCCGTCATCAGGTGGGACCGACTTGTGTTGCCTCCGAAACGTCGTGATTTCTTATTGTTTTATTTCTATAATTACTTTTATTAATTTTAATTTCATTTTTTACCTACGTGACTTTACCGAAAAAGACTAAGAGTATGAGATAATGCGACTCAAGGTATTGTCGAACATTCCGTAGCATGCTTCTCTATGCTGGTTACAGTGCACTTATCAGTTTTAGCTTTCTCTTATATGATTCCGTATGATTGTTATCGGTGAGGTTAACGATATCAGACGAAGTGAATCTGGATTTAAAGCTTTCCTGACTGCAGGGATTCATCTTCTTGGTTCTTGGTTCTTTCGGTAAAGTCACAACGCAAGCAGCCGTCTTTAGGCGAAGAACAGGTCTGTCGAGAAGACAGAGTCAGACCTGTTCTTCACTTGAGGACGGCTGCTTGTGTTGTGGCCGAAACGTCGTGAGAATTATTTTATTATGTTTTATTTTTGTTATTTTATTATTTCCATTCTACGTTTCACTTCACGTCATTGGAGCTTCTTCAAAGACTGAATATTCTTCAGCGGAGAGATTTTCAACAGAACCGTTAACACCCACCCAGCAGTTAGACCTCGCTATTTTAAGTTTGAAAACGTATTAATTTAGCCACGCCACTTATTTATGCGTACCTCATTTGAACTGAGAAACGTCAGTTCAATTCCCAGCCATGGATATTATCAGGGGCAATGTGGTAACTAGTGTAAATTATTTTAGGCCATTCTTTTTCACGTTAATATTTTATTTAACGTGTTTTAGTTATGATTCATAATATGATTCATTACCCTCACGTGCAATACCAATGTGTTACTGTTTGCTGATTTTGTAATTGATTTAAGATCTGGAGCCAATGACTCACTGCAATCTCTCCAGGACCTCCCTTGGAAAATAATATTACAAATCTGAAGGGTTTATTCTGCATGAGAAAGCATTATTATAAAACGCTTACAGGCATAATGCTAGATGTTCTGTAGATTCTTTAAATGTTAATGCCTTTAAGAAAACAATCTCTCGTCTTAAACATCTACGCCTTTTCAAAGAGTGATTTTTCATCTCAAGGACAGTATTTCACAAATGCAATGCATTCTCTATTTTCCAGCTCAGGTATATTTGCTTTAATATAAGCAACAATGGCTGCTTTTGTGGTGACTATAACATTGAATTCAACTGACAAAAAGGAAAATACGGTATGCATGTAATGTTCTTCATGCAATTCCAGCATATGTGGGTCGAACGGTGGCGCTTTGGTTGGTGGTGCTTTGGTCTGCACGAGGAACCTGTAAACTTAGGATCAGTTCCCAGCCACAGTATGGTATCGGTGGAAAGTCGTCACTGAACCGGAATTGGCCACTCCCTTTGCCACGCGCAGTTGACCGGTGTGGTGAAGCGTGCTCAAACAACCCACGCCACGACCGACGAGGCAGGCGTATGGGAGGCCTTGATCCAGCAGAGCGCATTAATAAAGCGGATGTGCTTAGTGGCGAATTGGCGACCTTGCCATTAATTACTATTATTTAGCATGTCCTGGTGCTGACAAGCTCGGCTGATGATGTGTTTTGTTGTTGGCCTTTACATTGTTAGATCGTTAAATGGAAATTAAACGCTGAACTGAACACACAGTGGCGGTTCGGGTTTTAATCTGTCTGCTTGATAATGGGAGGTGAATTCGGTCACCGCTTGGGGCGAGCCATGCATTCGTACGTGTAATCGCCCTTTGTCAATCCACTGCTGGATGAGGGCCTCACCACGTGACCATGTTTCATGCTGGTAAGCCAGAGTTGTCAGGTGGGGGAACTATAAAAGCACTCAACATACAGCACCAGTGCCAACGTAGCATCGCTAAACAATTTGTTTACGTTGAAGTCTTCGGAGTGAGTGTTGCTCCACTGCCCTCTGGTGCCCAGCGCGTAGCCCCACAGCCCGAGTTTAAAGTGCGACCCGATGTGCGTGGTGGGTCGTCCATCAGCCCACAGTCGAGATTCAACCCCCGCTTAGCTTCTGAGATCTGACGAGATCGGGGACATTCTCCTTGATTGGGTCATAGGCTTGTGGAAAATGTCTATTGTTATGACATTGATTCAACAACAATGCCCTGTGTTTAGGAACGTGTCGTCTGAATCACCATGAGGCTCTTTGGTCGGGAGTGTTCAGTGTGTGGGGATTAAAGAACAACGCCCAGAGAAACATCCAAAGTTTCACGTAGATGGATTTACCCCCTCCCCCCACTGCAGCTCAAGCCTACAACACGTGGTCATCAAAAACAGTATTTCATTTAAATACCAACCAGGCTTCAAACCTGCGTTAGCTCTTGAGATCTGGCAACAATTGGGCACCTTCGGGGTGAT